TATTAGCAGTTTGTATTATAATAATATGCATTTGATTGAGAAGAGCAAATAAAAACAAATACATGGTTGGATACAATGGGTATTATAAGGAAACAACATTCACTATTCATGGTTATATTGACAATATTCAGGTTCAGTTGCCTTTTCACCTTTTACTGTTCATAATGAGAAATGAAAATGGAAACTCAATTTTTCCCTTTTCACAAATTAATTTATTAAAATGTAAACTTTTGCTCGTTTCTGATGTTGATGTTGGTGTTGAATGTTTACTCTTTTTATTAACTGATATCGACAAGAATTATTGATTCGCAAATCGAGGATTAGACTGTTTAATGTTGACTTCATCATTTAGGATAACCTTAATCTTGCATTTCAGGTTGAAAGATTTATCTTGCCAAGAAAAATTGAGAGAACAGAGGAATTGAATGATTACCAATTGCAAGTACCTTTTGTTTTCTTGGTGGTGAGATGTGGAGATTACTCTGGGAGTGAAATCCTGGCTATCAATTGAATCACCGGTTCTTTAATAATCAATACACCATTCATTTGTTTCATTTCAACATTTACAAGCTTCTTCATTCTCGGGGAAAAACATTTTGCAAGCTAAGGCTAACGAGATATAACTTTGAATGAACAAGCATTACTATTGGGATGTAATACCTTCTCCTTTTTTTTTATTACACTTTTATTAGACTTCTGTTGGTTAGAGTGAATTTTGATTGGTTAATTAAAATGATTGATACATTGTAAGGATTGATTGAGATTGACTCCAACTTTTATCGATGTTTAACCTTTCCAGTTTTAGGTCAAACAGATTTTGTTTCACAAAACATCGTCAAAAAATCAAACAAAATTATGTTTTATAGCTAAATCAAATAGTTTGCACTTTGAATTTGCATCAATCGATACTGGAATTAAAATCAAATTGATATTGTAATAGTAAAAGATTTAGAATTAGCTTTTTCTCATGACAAGTGTTCATGAGCTGAATTAGGAAATTTTGTCAATTGGAACTGCAGCAACCAGCCAATAGTACACCATGCTGATAAATCTTCAAAATTCTTCTGCAAAATCCAATTTCTAGTCTAATTCAGCAACTTTTAGTTTCCAAAACGTGTTTATAATCTAATCACTTCAATGCCCTTTCAACCTTAAAATTGATTCAGCATTAAGTGTTGTGTAGAGCTCAGTCAGAACGATATTTTTGTGACAGCAGTTCTTGCTTGAAGGTTATTTAAATGATGGGTCGACTCACAGGTTCGAATCTTATAATTCGTGAATTAGCATCACAATATCAATCAATAAAAACTCGGTGAAAGAACCTCAGAACATTGAACGCTGGTTCAGTTCTTTTAAGCGCGATTTTATTTAAAGGATGTAACCAATAATATAAAGTTGGTTCTTTAGTCAGCGATTTTGAAGTTCATTTTTAATTACTCCTAGTTTAGCCTTAAATGACCAGTCTCGATCAACAAACCTTGCATCCAATATTTCATCTCATCGTCTGCCATGGATTTAGAGCATTAAACGTCATCATAAACTTGAATGATCACATTTGTTACCATTTGTCAGAATTTTTCAGAGTCATGTTACCTTAAAAGGTATTTGAATGCTTTAATACCAAGCGATCATTCTGAGTAACTAATTTCATGACTCTAACTGTACAGTAATCTGTACTTTTGATGGATTTGACATTTGAAGTGAAAGTATTTTCATTAAGTCAACCTTTTGATTTATTGATTTTCAAATGTAATGAATAGAAGAGATGAAATGAAGATCGATTAAACCTCCTTGATGATAAACATTTAACCCTGCTGAATATAATTTCAAATGGGCTTTCCTTTAGTTGGTGAGTGAATAAATCGTAATTTTATCAAGTAAATCTTGATCAATAATCAACAATCGTTTAGTTAATAGAAGATGAAACAAACATTATTCAAAAAACAGGTTAAATTGACTGAGCAACGAACAAAATGTAAACAACTCGAGGGTTGATTAAGAAATAATAAAGTGTAGAGTGTCGGTCCCTTGAAAATTAACTAAATTGTAAAAGCCACAAATTTTGACTTAAATTGTAATCAAATTATATAAAGCTATTTATTTAATCGATCAACAAATTAGACAATTTCTTAAACTGTTTCAGCAAACTGTTTCAATATAGAGGAACCATGTTTCACTTATTCAATATCTCAATTGGATATTCCTGTTGATGAAGTTGATAATGTTCATAATAATAAATGGATTTGTGTTGAACCTTTTCATTTTATCATTTGCACTTTTCCAGGTTACCCACATCATGTATACCCTGGCAACTGTACCAACTCAACATAATTACAATTTATATTTACTTTTATTACTCTTTCTCTTATAACTGGTAAATGTAATTGTAATCAAGCCAACATTTTCCTCTGGTAATACATCTTCAGGTTGATGCTGGTTTCAACTTTTTCATGTTGATCATGAATCAAACTGACCTACCCTGATATACATACTTGCACAAAGACTATTAGAAACAAGTGAGCAAAAAGCAATGAGAAAAGTTCAATTAATGATGATAATAAAACATTGAAAGGTTTCACACCTTTTCTCATCATGATTATCATCTTTTATTACACGATAAAATGAATGGCATTAGTTTTTTTTATTCAATTATAATGCAAAATAAATCTGATATTAAAGATTCTTTTACAAGTCTTTTCGAGTTGAAATTGAATTTTAAGAAATGCTTTAATCTTTTTAATTTCATCAACCTTTTCCTTCCAATTTAGCTCTGAATAAGATTATTATTAAATTATTTGCTTCTTTATTTTACCATGGATAAGAGGAAATTTCAATTAACCATGTAAACTATTTTTTTCACCCATCTAATTGGCTATGCATTATAAATGAATTATAAATGAAATGATGAAAAAAAAGAAGCGAAGTGAGATGAGAAATTTCAATGAAGTGTAAACATTTATTACATTTACGGGTAAATGTGTTGAAAAGATGAAGATGTAAATGATGTTGTTGATGATAATGGTGATGATAGAGTTGTAAGTGTTTTTTTTCTTCGTCATCAAAGACAATTTGGCAGATAGAAAAAGGAAGATGAAAAGATGAGATAATTAGAAAAATTAATTTCAAAAGAAGAGCTCTATTCATTGTAATTGAGGTTTACTTTTCTCTTCATTTGTTTAACATCATCCTCATCCGTCTTCAATATCATTTTACTCTTTAGCTTCCTTTTAATCTTGATAATCTTGAAGATGTTCACCATGCAAACAGGCGGCAAGTCATGCAACTCTCAACCCAACAGAGTCACTCTTCTCGGATCAAATAAAGGCTTACAGTAAAGGTACTTCACGTGTTAGCGTAATATAATCGCGATAAAATTACTATCGCCTCGTAATGACTGACTAGTCTGTTTAACCCTCAACCTAACAAATTCACTCTTCTCGGATCAAATAAGGCTTACACTAGAGGTACTTAACGTGTAATAACCGCGATAAAATTACTTTACTTTGGCCTTGTAAGACTCACTAGTCTATCAACCTCTCAACCTAACAAAGTGCCTCACACTGCATCAAGTGTAACACATGTAAAGGATAATTTTCACGTCAAATATTTACATTTTTCCTCTTCAATTTCATTCTCAATATTATCATCTTTCCATCATTCACATTTCACCTAACCTAATCATCTTTTCATCTTGTCTTGTCTTTTGTACTATTTTTTGACTCAATTTCAAAACACACAAGAGTGACATGAAAAAAATACATAATTGATATTAAAAAAAAGGACGAAATTGTAACTGAAAAAACAAACAACACGACAAGTTGAGACAAGTGTTTGCCTAAGCATCTTTTGTTACAAGCAAAATAATTTCATCATGTAATTGTTTGTTGATATCATTCATATCATTCTTGCCTATTATTGACCGTTAATAATGAGAAGACAATTTAATTTTCAGGAACAATTGATGAAAATTTATGAATATGAATTTTTGCCTTTCATCATACGCTTTGTCTGTTTTCACTGTAATAATGAAATGGATGAGATGATAATTCTGGATAATAATCTTTGCTCATCAACATGAGCATGATAATGATTCACGGAAACATTAAGACATTTTGAATAGCAGATTAATTATCCTTTAGCTTTGTTTCAATCATTAATAATTAAAATGTCCAAATGTTTATTCAATCAATGGGATGCAAACAACTTGTTGCTTTACATTTAACAATTGAACCCGTCCAATGTTAACGTTATTAACTGACAATGAAAATATATGATTAAGATGGTATTAATGGTATTATTGAGAGTAGATTAGTTTTCAGGTTATTATTTTTCATTCTTATATATTACATTGTATTAATGGATCGATAATTTTTGCTTGTATTTTGCCCAAAAAGTTAATGAGTATGTGTACATCAAGAGATGTCATTAGATGGTAATAATGGTTCTTCAATTCAATTGCAATCAAAACTATATTTACAAATTGTTCAACTGTTAATTTAGCTTCTGAAAGTCAACTTTTAGACTAAAATTTGGCTTGCAATCAAAATGTTTTTAGGACCAACATTCATTAATCTTTGTAAGTCTTGAGTTAAGCCTTAAAGTCAAAGGTAACATTTGAATTTATTTACTTTTCCTATTAAGATTAGAGTCTAATTAGCCATTGATTTTTTAATTTGCCTTGTTAAATGGCACTAATTAATGGTAATTTTGATGCGACGACAAGCAAAATATGAATCACTTTTATGACATCGAGTTTGGGTTTTATGGTTAAACTGGTCAACTTTGGTTAGACATTTTAGGTTAAGGTTTAATGGTTGAACAGGAAAAAGCAAAATAAAAATGGTCGTCAAGATTGACAATGATATTCATTGGTTTTTGGTAATGTGACTGTTATGATTAACAGTTGATGAATAATTTACAAGATAATTAACCTTTTTTTGGGTTTTGATGTTAATTTAAAGAAACAAAAATGTCCAAAGGTAGACAATTAGTTTACTTACCCTTGAAGATTGACTAGTATTGTTTCCCATTTTGAAGTCACTTTTTCTCCTTTTGGTTTCCTTCAATGTCTTCAACGTTTCTATGTTTTATTTGTGTTTCAGTGTAACAATTTGATTAACAATAACTGGTTATAACAACAATTATTATTAACGGTCACAATATTTTAATCACCATTTACAAGTGTGCTGAACAATATGAATTGATATGATAATGGATTGAAAAAGATGAGGTAAAAACAATAAAATGTGACTCCTTACTGTTGATGTTTTTACCGTTGGTGGTTTTTGTGGTTGATTGTAAGGTTGATTGTGAATTTGATAGTGATTGGATAAACATTGTATTAAGCTCGTTTAAAGGTTTAATCATGAAATGGACAGTTTTGGTGTCGAGTCTTGATAATTGGTGAACACATGAATACAGAAAGAGATAGACGTAAAAAGACAGTTAAATGTTGAATGCTAAACAGACGGACAGGTAAACAAATAACATGGATGTGTGTTAGTGTGTAAGGTTGTCGATGGTTGAGGTTGATGATGACGATGATGATTCCAGTGACACTGTTAAACAACGTAAATGTTGTTAATTGTTGACAGTAAGATACATTATCTTTGAATAAAACTTGAAAAAGGATTGCAGGAAAAAGCAATTAAATGAAAGTCTTGTTAAAAGGATCAAATTTTTTCTTCAACTCTTTTCACCTTCGTCTTCAATCTCATCTCATCTTGAACATTTTATATTTCTTCATCATTTTCACCTCCATTTTTCAGGTAAATATCACCTTATTCTTTGATTGAACAACGAAAAATTCAGCTTTATCTTTTTACTCTTTTTTCCTATTTTTACCTCTTCAACTTTTTCTTTTCCTTTTCTTTTTCTTCTTCTTCTTCTTCTTTTTCCTATTCTTCCAGATATCTTCTTCTTCCTCCTCTAATAGTTACAACGGATGATAATTTGAATGGTGAAAATGATGATAGTCAAGAGAGAAAAAGAATGGAAGAGAAAGAGAGAAAAAAGAAAGACTTGAATTAGGAAGGAAAAGGATAAAAGGTTTTGATTAGGTTGATCAGGTTTGATGAGAGACAATAAGTGATATGTTTGATGTTGATGTTGAATTTTGAGTTGATTATTATAATGATTATGGATGAAGAATGGTGAAGAGGATGGAAGAGGATGAAAGAGGATGAAAGAGATTATGAGATGGATGAAGATGATGATGAAAATGATGATGATTAGTGGTCCAAGTTACCAGTAAAACTGTTTTGTAAAAAGTGTTGGGAATAAAAAAATAGATTTATTTGTGTATTTGAACACAGGGAAGACAAGTTAAAAGCGTTTGCTTTTCTTTCCTTTTTTTCCAGTTTCCTTTAATTTTTCTGTTTCTCAGCTTCGAGTTGCTCGGTGTTTTAGTTCAAAATACCTGAAGGAGAAAGAGAGAGTCAATGTGAGAGGATCAACATCATCAGCTCACTTCTTTCGAGGCAACTTCGAGAAACATTTTTACTCTTTTCCCTCAACAAATGGCAATTGAAATGTTCACGAATCAAACGCCATCTTTACTTCAACTCGAGATCTTTTATTTCGATTTACCTATCAAACTTACCTGCATGGGTAAGATCAAGAAGGTAGGGAGAGAGAGATGAAGTTAAAGGAGGTTTAATGGTGAAATGAAGGTTTGGAGGTTTCATGATATGTATTTGGAATGTTTGGTTTGAAAATGAAAAATTGTGATAAGTTTGTTTTAATAATAATTGAGTGTTATTTATTTTATTATTAGCAATCAACTTTAATTTTGGTTATGATAATAGTTTACAAATGAAATGTTTAATGTCATTGAATGCACTTGAACTGAATTACAATTTTTGAGTTTTTTTCGGGTTTAGTGAATTATATTCTTATGTTTTGCTGTCTTGTTTGTGTGTGTGTGTGTTGCTTATTTGTTATCAATTTAAAGGTAAACGGAAACATGATTCAAGAAAAGTGTCTGGATCAGGTACCAAATGATGAAGTGCAAGAACATCAATTAATTCATAAAATGATTGGCAAAGAAGTAAATCTTGCTCATAAAATCGTAACAATTTGTCACCATTTTCCAGGAGAGCTTGATCATTATTTCGTATGTATTCAGCTAAAGCCAGGGTCCAGGTTTCACAGGAAACACCCGAGTTTTCATCAGCTTTAGGCAGAACCATTTTAAACATTATTGAATAAAGGGAATCGATTAGAGCAAAAAATATCAGTGATGATTTGTAAACTGAATAATCAAGCGGCCGATTATCAATCAAATGGTTTGCTCCTTTGGGTGTAATGTGGCGAGCTTGGGCAGCAATTAATAGACGCTTTAAAAAGGTAAGTCGATGTTTTTTCCAAAAGAAGGGAGGATGAATGACCAGAGAAATTGTTGTCCAATAGAAGGGACTGTCAGCTTCAAATGAATTTTCAACCCATTTGGACGGAGGCAAATCAAGGAAAGAAGCTGTAATCTTTTTAGACTCTTTAGCTGCACATCGTGTGGTGTTGATAACATAGAGAGCCATGTGAATCATGTAGGGTATTAGGTGAATATTTGATTGAGGTCCACCACCACCAGAGTCCAAAGAGAAAGATTCTTCAGAAGCAAAACGAAGCAACAATAGTTTTAAATCGTGAATGGTACACGAATAGCTAATGTCTCGACGACCTGTACACTCTTGAAGGTAAGTATTGTGACGAGCAAGGCAAGAAGCAAAGGCAGATTCTTGAACTGATGGACCCCAAAGGGGCAAAAGACCGTTACACTTGGTACTGGCATTTTGAAGAGCAGCCGATTCCCATTCATCTCGTCCTCTTGCATGCCTCACAGCAGCCATGTGACAATCAACGTGAACCACATTGAAATGAGTTACAGTTGAGTAGCCCATGGTTTTTCTGGGCTTCAATTCAAATTGTTCAATTGGACATTCCTTGGTAAAAGTGTAAATTCCAAGTACCTTTGAGGGTTGAAATTTGTATCCTTCTCGACAAATGATGCAACTCAAACCTTGCTCTTCACCCAAATCTTCAACCTGCCTTAGGATGGAACTTTTGGCCATTACTTGTCCACGTTCATTTGCTTTCATTCCCAGTTCACCCAGTTGTTTCTGTCTGACTGCCATGGCAAGTTTCTTTTTCTCTTCTTTAGTTTGTTTACGAACGTGTTCAATCTTTTCTGAAACCACCGAGTTTTGATATTTCAATGCTTCCAAAAGCATCTCAGCTAGACTGCCAACATGAGAATCTGAGGAAACTTGTTCAAGACCATGAATAACAGGTATTGATTCAGCTGCTACAAGCATTTGACTACTTGGATGACCAGAGCAAAGACCGGTTAACATACGAAGGACATATTTCAACACTGGTCGTTGAGTAAATTCTTTCCATTCTTCTGATGTTGCCAGAAGGGCTGATTTAACGGGAGGAGCATGAATTTTGAGGTAAGCCAGTGCATTGGAAACGATGTCTTCATTTAGAATGAAGTCTTTGAGACGATTTCCATTTTCATTTTTCTCAATTCCATGAAGCATAACACAGAAACAATCGATACGGAAATCATTTTCTGGTGTATGATCAAAGTCAAACTTGTTGAAATTGAGGTGAGGTCTAAAGTGATCTAAAAGAGTTGCCATTTTTTCTTTATCTCCCAATGTTAACAATGGTATTACTTTCATTAACATGTGCATGACATTGGTGTTGTGTCGCACATTTTCATGTTCAGCAGCATTGAGAAGAAATTTAATATCATCTTTTGCACCACAAGTTTCATGATAGAAACGATCATACTCTTCTCGAGATTGTTTTGAAGCTTCAACTAAAATACTTTCCATAATGACAAGAATCATTTCCAAGACATTGGGTTTACCAGCCGAAGAGAAACCTCCTCCAACACAAGAAGCCAAATCATTGGGATCAGCAATAATGGCCATTTTTAAGGTATTCAAAAGGACATTAATTGCTTTCAAAGATGGATCAATTAAAGTTTGACGATTTTGTCTAACCTTAACACAATAGTCAAACAATTTAAGTAAAACCAGGAGCAAAGGACGACTTCGTGCAGACAGATCTTGAATTACAGCAAGCCGTTGTAACAGCACTTCCAATCCACCACATTCACTCATTACATTGGCCATTTTAAATACTTGCTCATTGTCAACGTTTTCATTGTTTTTAGAGTCCAAGGTTTGAATAAACTCTTCAGTTGCATCTCCCATTAAACCTCTCATCCGATAAATTACCCTCATGGCCTCAGTCTCGTTGTTTTCCGTTAACCAAATTTTCTTGTACACTTCTTCCACTGGTAAATCCAGACTGATAATCTTGTTACAGACTAGCAGTTCCATACCTGAATCATCTTCCAATAAGGCAATTAGCTCACAATCTTGGCAGATTTTGTTTTTAATATCTCTCATTAAAGGACCCATTCCTGGTTCGGTTGATGGATAAGGATTGCCAAGCATTCGTCCTTGTAAGAAATCTTCATGTTGGGGATCTTTTTCCAAATTGATGAAAAATTCAGATGTATCATTTTCTTCGGGATAGATTATGGAACATAGGCGCTCAAAAATGAACACTGGTGTTCTCAGATCATCTAATTTACATTTGTTAACAGCTTCAACGCAAACAGCCATAAATGAAGAAGTTTCACTTTCAGTTCCAGTGGTCATCTCTTCGAGCAGCTCAAGTAAATTATCTTGAGTTTCATCGATAATTTTGGTTCGCTGGACAACCAATTTTCTTAAGGAAAGATATCCATTAAGTATGAATGCCACTAGACGTGATTTGTATTGTTTGCGAATTGACGGAACGTCAACAAATACTGTGAGAAGATCAACAAGCATTTTCAAGGCACATCCTTCAGAGAGATCAGAGTTGAGCGTTATCTCTTCCAATTCATTCAATTTTTCAATTTCATTAGTTATCAGAGAACCCAGGTGAAGTAAAACTCCTTTCAAGGCAAGATAATATTTCCAATGATCTTGTCGGATAAGACTGTGATAAAGGGTGAAAAATTCTTGCGAATATTCACGAGCAATGCCAAGTTCATCAAGATAACAGGTTAAAATGTCAATCAATTCTTTTCTTCGACTAGGGGTCTGGAATAGGGCTCCAACCAATGAGCAAGCCATTAAACGAACAGTTCGTGAAAATTTGTTGAATAAAACTGATCGAAGCCAATTATTTCCAATAAGTTTACATTCAATTTTGAAATGACCTTTTTCAATTGTCTTTTCCTTCCACCGGTTTCCATATTTTTCCATTAAAAAGAATGAGCGAACAATTTCTTTGGATTTTCCTAGTTTTTCGCGAGCGCCTGATACGGAGGGAAGAGAGACGCAACTTTTGGCACATCGTTTTTTCCAAACATTGAAATTATGATCATTATCTTCAGCTAACCACTTATTAAGATCAACACTAATTTGACTTCCACGAATTGTCATACCTGCCATTTGTTCAATGGTTTTCTCTTTTTTCTTCATCACGAAAGAATCTGGTTTGATAAGATTAATCAATAATTTTAAACACGGGAGTGTAATTGATTCAAGGACAGAAGGACTGTTGCAGGATAAACTGACACGGAAAAGACGCAAAACACAACGGAGTCGCTTTTCCCAGCACGAATCTTCTCTTTCAAGGGAACAGATGAGAAGAGCAATCTCATGGCGAACACTTGAAGTTAAGTCGTGTCGCATGGATGAGGGTGACACTAGTGAGGCAATTATTTTGTACATAAGCATATCATTGAGTTGGTCAGTAGCTTCAGGGTTGTCCAAAGTAAGAGTGACAAGTAACTGGCGAACTTCTTGTCGCACAGAACTGCTACCGGTTCGTAAATTATAATCAACCAATTGTTGCAACAACCCACTGCTACAAAGTAATTTTCGGTATTTGAGTTGAGTTCCTAAGGCTTTGAGAAGGGTTATACAAAGTTCAACAACGGCACAAGCACATCCATAACATCGACCAGAAGCTGAAGCAAGAGAAACGACAAATTTTGAATCACGCCGAGTGGCACTTCCTTTACCATTTGTTGATACTTTGGTAGTGGTTGTTATGCTGTCTCGTTGAACATTATCATAGTCGACTAGCTCCTTACGAGAGGCCAAAACTTTTTGAATGATTTTACTAAGCTCATCAAAGGATCCTTTACATTCAACACAATATTTATGAGCAACTTGTTGAATAGCTCGATTAACATGACTCGATGAATTGCTAGTTGGAACATTAATTGGACCAGTTGAAGGGTAACCAGATCCAGAAGGCACAATACCTAAAGCTTCATCAGACATTTTGTCCATAAATCCATGCTCTTGAATACGCAATAATAACAATTCTAGAGTTGGTTTATTGGCAATTAATCCTTTATACACTCTATCAGCTTTTTCGAGAAGTGTATTGATTGTTTGAACTGTCTTTTTGCGATCTTCTTCATTCTCAATTGGATCAACCGAAAAGGTTGGTTTAGCTGTTAACGTGTAATCAAACTTGGCATATTTACTGAAACCACAAGAGTTGCACAAAAAGGGATCTTTTTCGTCATAATTAATGGATCTACACTTATGACACTGGAATACATTTTCACCGCAATTACCACAAACACCAGGATTTGCTGGGACCGAGGCTGAACAACGCGGACATTGAAGAGTTTCAGAGGAGGCTTGAATGTTTTCGTAAAAATCTGCATATTCAATCATCAAATTACAGGCAACAATGGGCAGAGGAAATTCAATTTTAACTTCAGTCTGTCCAGAGGCAAGTTGACATTTTTTAGCCTTGTGCCATATTCCGGTTTTATTTTTAAGTTCAACAACTGAATGAACGGATCGGTTGTTGTAATAGATGATGAGAGTCTTGACCATTTTGGATCGCTTAATGTCAGCAATTCGTAGAGATATTTTAGATATTGTGTGGCTTCCGACAAGTTTAACAATTTGAGTTGTTGTAGTGAATCGAGAGTCAACTTTGACTGATGACAGCTTCATGTTACTGTAACTAACTTCAGGGTTATTGCATACCAAACAGGGTTCGGATTCAAGATAGTAACCATCAAATTCAACTAAATTTTGCAAGCTGTTGTAAAGGGCTGAATTTGGATGATTAATGAGTAATTTGTTTTGGTGACGTAAAATAGAGAGGGCTTTATCTCTATATTCAACTTCCTTCTCTTCGGGTATATTTGATTTCAGTGTAAAGTAAGCCAGCAAATCTACAAATTGACCAGCTTTACGACCATAACAGGGAACTTTATCCCAAAGAGACCACAAAATTTCCAACAATATTTTATGATGAGCTGGTTCATCGATATTTTTATACATATTGAAGATCAGTGAATGAGTTTGCATTCGGAGGGATGATGAATTTGACTCAAGCAGAAAACATTGGATAAATTGATTTAACAGTGTTCTATCCAATTGAGTGATAAATTGTTGGGCAAGTAGGGCTGCTAAATTGGCTTGTTCACGACTGGCAATATCAGTAGATTCAGGTGGCATTGATGATGATACAGATGTGCTGCCTTGAAGTATAGTTACCGGAACTTTGATGCCACCTTCAGACTTGACTGAGCTGGACGATTGTATTGGCCTGCATAAAGCATACTGTAAAAGTTGAAGGAAAATTGGTGAAACTCCTTCATCCAGAAGGAAACTAGCACGCATGAAAAAGGTCAATGTTGAAATGTTGCGGCAGAATTTTTGCCAATTCAAGGTTCGAGAAGAAGCAATATCACAGCATGCCTTGAGATGCTCTATAAGAACTATGGTAGAATCATAAGTTAATGAAATAATGACTCCCTGTCTTCCAGTCGTTTCACTTGTTTCATTGAAACCTCCTTGTTGGCAAATTTTCTTTATCTCATTGAAATGATATTCCAAAGCATGAAAATCACGAACTTGGCGATATTTTTCCTTTGATCCACAGATAAAGTTAAGCAACTTGCGAACCTGTTTACGAATCATAGGTGCCAATTGAATCATCATATATTCACAAAGAACATCTAACCAGGCATGAGGAAACGCTATTTGTTTAGTAGCTGAATAGGAGTTTGATATTTTCTTGATCTGATAAGGAAGCTTTAAAACCATCTCTGTTAACAGCTGAGGATAAGTGGCAAATATATCATCAGAATGACTTTTGACAAATTGTTTTAAAAAGAAAGGCGACATGTCTGGTACTGGAGTAAGATTTCGAGGTTTTAAAGGTGCAGTTGTTGTTGGAGTTCCAGTTTGAATTGGTTGCATGGATTGATTGAAACTACTTCGAGAAGATGATTCAATATCGGGTTGTATGTTTTTCCAATAATCTTTCAGGTTAATAAGAGTCTGTAAGCAAAGGTCGAGTGTCTCTGAATTTAAAAGAGATTGGGCAGTGTATAACGAGCATAACCCAAATGAACTTTCAGCTGGATCATGGGTTGACTTAGATGAACCAGAACTAGTTGATTTCATTCGAGTCATTAAAATACTAAGAAGACGCATAATTATCAGTTTAACTTCATTCTCTGGGGTTCGTTCAATTAATTGTTTAGCATCACGGCAACCATGATGAAGCTCATTGATAAGTGCATTGAGCAGAGACATGAAAACTGCTTTATCTTTTTCAATACTGCAATCTAAATCGGATGATAACATGACTATAACTTGCATCATGGAAACTGAATGGATTCCACCAATACCACGAATCTCGGAAAGACTGCCGACAAGTTTTTCGAGAAGGTAAAGTCTTATATTGTGTAACTTGTGACTGGTTGAATCGGGCTTTTCACTTTCAGTTATTTCTGATCCCGTTTCTTGTGATTCACGAGGTTGTCCTTTAGCAGCTGCATCATCACCATAAGTTGAGCTGCGACCAGAGGCAACATGTTCACCAATAACAGATTCAACGCCACTCGCACCACTTTCAGATCCTCCACCATCGGCCACATTTTCGGTTTCATTGGCAACAGGACTTGTTCGTAAAGTTGACCCATCAGTTGCCGCAGTGGATCCTTCGTCATCAGAGCCAGCAGCTGACGCTGTTGTGTCTGAATAATGACTTCTATCCTCTAAACTACCTCCTCGTTGTGAAGATGAAGGACCTCCAGATGAAGAAGCAGCTGACTGTTCAATCACAGATAAACCTCGAGCTGCTGCAGCTTGTTCTTGAAGACTTGAAACAATAGCGAGGTCAGCCATTGGATCATCTTGATCGTCAACGTCAGGAAACTCTAGAAGAGGTGCATCAATAACTCTCATCAATCCTTGGGCCGCGACTTGATCAAGTTCTTCAATAAGCTCGAATTGCTGTTGAATAAGATGTTGAGAGAATGGGTCAAGATTCATCTGATTATCAAGACTAGCTGGTTGGTCGGAAGGCATTGAAGATGCTCTAGCAACATTTGAGCCGGTAGGACAAGAACTACTTGAACCGGGTCCAGACGTAGAGATAACACTCTTGGGTTCACCGGGAGCAGAGGTAGAGGCTGAGGCGGTAGCTGAGGCTGCCGATGAAATTGAAGTAGGAGCTTTTCGTTTTCTTACCTTTGGACTTAATAAACGTATAAGTGCTTGTTTAGCTCCAAAACTTATAACCGGGTTTTTGCAGAGGAAAAGTTTCATCAACAATTGTGAAGCAGTGCCAATGTTGCTAACATCGACCAGGGTAAAGGCAATAATAATTTCGACAAGAACTTGGACAGTAGCTTCAACGTGAACAAGACCAGAAGAGGCAATGGATGTTAATAATGGATTCTTGGGTCGCATACAGTAAAGTTTCCAGAAGGTATCACTGAGGTAGATGAGAAAAGAATCACCCGATTTTCCATCTTTACTGGCAACCGTTTCGACAAATGACACAGATCTTTGTGGGGCTCCTAAAACGGAAGGTCTAGTTGGTTTACTTGGCCCTTCAATGGACTTGGCTCGGCTTAAAAGTTCGGAGCAACTTTTACTAGAGCTTAAATCAGCGTTATCAGATTGATCTTCGGTTAATCGTTGTTGCTCTGATTGAGTCATAGCAAGGGTGAGGCACTCACTGAATTTGATGAGATTTTCAGGTCTTGATATGGCAATCGATTTAGTCAAAATAATGAGACGATAAAAAGCTTCACCATCTAATTCGCCGGCAGCATTGGCTTCTGACAATGACTTTATCACATAATTGAGAATTGCAGCATCTCGGTGGTTATTGAACGAACTTTTATTTTGGTGCAATGTGAGTAAAAGATATTTGATATTTTGATGAACAGGAACTGGAAATGGATAGGTAAGAAGATTGGTTACAATCTCCAAGGCTTGTTTGTGAATTTGTTGTTTATTTTCTAACGATGTTCCGGCAATTCCTAAAGTAAATGAGCCATCAAGTACTTCCAACATGCAGCTGAGAAGTCTGTCTAATGATGACAATTGGGTAGCATAAGGTGAAGCTAGACTCATTATATCAAAATCGGAGACATTTTGAATCATTGATTCAGTTCCAGTATTACCAACATTCTCAACATCTTCATCAGGCCAGGCAAAGGCTTCTTTAGTTTTTCCATAAACTTTAATTGAGTCAACCATTGTGATGTTGTTTGGATCACCACTGGCACCAAAGAAAATGCTTAATTTTCGATCAGCCATAAGCGATTCTTCACGAGTTAGGGGAAAATCATACCAACGATTTCGCGTTAAGTAGACATGAATAGGTCTTCCAAAGATTTCAATATAAGATGGAACTTTAATGGTATCTTGAGTTCCGAGAAATATTCTCACACCAACAATTACCATGGAAGGATCGTTATTTGTTACTTCGACGGTGAAACCTTCTGGTTTGGTACTTGCTATGTACATACCAGTAGCGTTTAGACGATTTTTCAGCTGTTGGACGTTATAAACTTGCAGAACGTCATTTCCACCGTATTCAATATCGGTTAAAAGTGTACAATGTTCAAAGAAATCAATTGGAAAACTAACAGTTCCTCCGGATGTTGTTCCTCCAGAATTGAGTTTATTAGGTTTGTTTGATTTTCGTTTCTTTGACGATTTAAGACCTAATGATGGTAAGCCAGATCCATTGGTAAAAGCGGAACAAAGAGATGGCTGTAACCAGAAATTGGTTCCTTCTGGATTTGCCATGTAAATTCTTAAGCTACCGTCTTCACACAAGAGTATCAAAGTTGTTCTGAGTTCTCCTGCTGATGTTGTATGTCTAACTGGAACCATATCAGTTATTTTGGATTTCGTGCTGGTGAATTGAATCTCATGAATGATAATGTTTTCAGTTTTTATCATAAAAATTACAGGATGACCTGTCGGTTGACAGACAGCACAAACAAGCCCAGGATGACCCTGAATTTCCGACCATTGACATAAAGGTTGCGGTCCAGGTGCAGTCGAAGTTGGTGATGAAGATGAACTTTTTGATCCACCATTAGAGGGTGGCGAGGCTCCATGATCGCGATTTGGGTTTGATAATTCGATGGGAAAGAGATGAGAAATCTCTGATGTTACTTCAGTTAAAGCAGCAACAAAACTTTTGCCGTTTGAGTAGCTCGTAAAGAGAAGTTGCAACATGTGTGAGTAGTAAATAGAAACTCCACCAGAATTTATCTGACCTCCTGAGGTTTCTCGGATATCAGAGTGTTTTACATCAAGCACATTGGTAACATAAAAAGGCCCGTGGCGAGCAGAAGATTCATCACTCAAAATTTGTGAATAAATGTGACCAGCTGATGATATTATAAGAATGTAACGCTGATTTTCAGTTATAACAAATGTTACATCTCTTATTTTGCCAGATGGTAGTAAGAAGAAGAATTGAGGTGAAATAACATCGACACTTAAATTGTAAACTTTAACAAAATCCATGGTAATCAAAGCTAATTCAGTTTGAGTTCCTGGTAGCCAAACTGACTTGATTAGATAATTTCCAGCTTCAAGCATTGGATGTAAAACAAGATGACCAGATACATTGCCGTTGGGATTGAAAGTGAGAACATGACAATCTTTGAGACCACAAACTGCAAGAAAGTCTTCATTGCAAGGATTAGAGGCCATTGAAAGAACAGTGAAAGGTATAGGCGCTGAGGCTAATCGTGAAAGGGTGAACTTTTTCTTTGAACAATCAGCCTGTTTGAGAAGAGTTGATAGTTGAAGAAGAGTTATCTTTCCTTTTTCATGGCTAACAGCGAGGTGTTGACGTTTACCAAAGGGCGAGACAAGAGCACACATTGCAACTCGACGAATAACATTTGTTGATACAAGTTGACGAATGGCTTGGCCTTGTTCACCTGAATAGCTTAATCTGACATTTTCGAAAGCTCCTTCTTGAGAACCTAAGGTTGGTACCATAAGCACATCATTATATTCAATTGATTTAGGTTTCTCGTGCAGATCTTTTAGAGATTTTTTCGCTCTAATGGAACAGCCTATCGATGAGTTTGCTTGACAGTTTTTAATAATTGAAGGAACTGTTACATTTAAAAGATCCAATATAGTTGAGCCTACGTTTCGACTTGTTAAAAGGGATAACAATTCACGTTTCCTTGATTGTAATTGACGAGCTAAAACTTGATATCTTGCATGACTCTCAGATGACACTTGACGTTTGATTCTATCATCAGCGGAATCTCCATCAGGTGATGAAGGGCGTCGTCTACTTTTATCTTGACTACATGAATATGCCGGTAACCGATAAGATGCTGTTTGTTCATTATCATGGCTATTTTGAGTTCGTTTGGTTAATGCCAAGCAAGAGCCATCTTGTTTAGCACCACAATCACAGAAAAAGGAGCCATACTTGGAAAAGGTGACATCGTGGTCTTTGTGGCAAACTTTGGCACAAACTGTGCAAACACCTACCCCGTCAATTAATTTACAGGTATGACAATGATACCAATGCTGGTTCATAAAATTTTTCAAAGTAATGGTAAAAGTACAAAGCTTATTGCACAAAGAATCTTCATCTGATTCATCTCCAGCTGATTCATCATCATCAAGGCAGGTTAAATCATCTACCCACTCAGATTCTAGATCAAGTCCACTAGATTCATCTGTTGGCGAAGGTGGCCGATCAGATAAATTATTTTCATTATTGAGAAGTTTGAAAGCTTCGAATACATCAGACAAATAAGATAACATATAACAGGTTGATTCAATAATAATTTGATGGCGTCCTGCAGTGACATTGTTTTCCAGTTTTTCTAGCACATCTTTCTGAGAAAGATATTTACTACAAACATCTAACCAACCAAATACTGCTTTAACAAGCTCAAAATGACCTGTTCCTGAACCAGCACTAGCTAGTGTAGTCATAGTGGCAAGTAAATCAGGAAAACCTTTAGCATCTAGACTACAGGATAGCACGATTGATGCAATAGGTATCAAGGCAGAAAGAATAGATTCGGCTACTTCTTCATCGACGGTGGAATTTTCCTTAACAATATATGATGTTAAACTTTGAAAGGCTTGTCGATTTTCTTGGGTAATGAAATTATATTCTCCTAGATCACTTTTGTAACAAAAAAGCTTGTTGAGCCATGCTTGGAGATATGTTTCATTTTCTTGAGGTGTAAAGTTTCTTAAATGAGTGAGCGAAGAGCAGAGGCGAACCAAACTGATCGAGTCCGAATTTTTCTCTGTCAATTCAAACAATTTGACAAGAAATTTCAAAATTCTACTGGAGTAGGCTGATGACAAATTTTTTCTGGATGCAGATGTAATCAAGCTCACAATACCACGGTTTTCACGTTTAGATGGAGAGGTTTCACTTGACGTTTCATCGGCATCCATATCACAGAAGAACTTTTCAAGGGCATTCTGCCCAGCAGATACTTCAAGTAGACTTTCAATTAGTTTAATACATTCAATACATATTTTCTCATCAATATACTGGCTGTGTTCTGTCAGTATGGCAAAGCTATGGTGAAGGGCCACAATATAATTTGCACAAAGAAATTCATCACTCTCACGAGATCCCCAAATACTTTCTATAGCTTGATTGCAATGATTGTTGAATGATTCAAGGGTTAGATCAAGGCCTAAAGGAATCAGGATTTTGGCAAAATCTTCTTTCAGCTGACTTTGGAAATGGTTGGAGCCATTAGAAGTTGACCATAAAAATATTTCTTCGGCAGCTTTCAATAAAGTACTGGTTACATGCTTGAGGTTTGCGTTTTCTGTAACGAAACAAGATTCATCGGAGGAATAACTAGTTGTGAGCGCACTAAAATGGAAGTTTTGTAATGAAAATGCAAATGTCTCTGGTGGTAAAACTGAAGAGGTGAATTCTTTACGCCAAAGAGATCCTGCACTTGGTAAATTTGATTCTAATTGAATAGTATTCCATTTGTCTACAGCTTCAAGTAAGCTCTTGGGTAGATAATTGACAATTGACATAGCAAAAGGACCCAGTTTACCGACAGCTTTGACTGTTGTCATTCGCAGTAGTGAATCATATGCTTTCAAGGTTTTTACATTTTTCAGATTATCGTCCTCATTAGGTAAATAGTTAAGAATGGTCCACCTTATCTGATGAAAGAAAAGGTCGATCAACTGAATAATGTTGGGCAAAATTTCAGCAGCATTGGTACGAGTATCATTTAAACTCTTTGATTCTTGACTTGTTAATCGACCAGTGTCAGTTTCTCTTCTTTGGATAGAGGATGTAGTAGTAGTATTACTAGCAGATGTTGATAAAGATGGGGTTGAGCTATTCTCATTGATCACACTTAGACAACCATCCAGACAAATCATGGTTTTGATGACCAAAGTTTCCAAAACAAACATGTCATATCTTGCCATATCGGCAATTTTGACAGGATGGCTGCTAAATTTCACTTTCATCTCACTGAGAAGATGACTGATAAATTGATTGAGAACTTTGATGCTAGATGAGAATGCTTCAGCATTTTTGATGATAGATTCATTCTGGTTGGTCTCATTTGAAGGTGACCCTGCACAGAAGTTAACAAAATCCATTGAGATAATCAATTAGTAAAGAGAATTTTATGAATCAAGTGGTACAACGCAATTTTATGAATAAAGGGAAGAAAAAACAGGAATAGAGAGGAAAAAAATTGAGAGAGTAAGGAAATAGAAGACAGAGAGACATTAAAAGACAGGAAGAGTGAGACTCAAAAATACAGACAGGGGAAGAAGGGATAAATTAAAGACTTTCGATTACTTACCATGGTCTATAGTGTGATTATTTTCAGACATCTTGTTGATTATTATGTCACCAACAAGACACAATATAAAGAAATATTCACAACATTAGTAATTTTTGTTAAAACAAGTACAAATAAAATAAAACATCAATCAACCCGAGAGAAAAAATGAGTAGAGTTTAACTCTAACATGTTATGGGTATTGCATTGTTGAATGGGAGACATCTAGAGGATAACATTTATCGGATAGCTCATCCTGTGATTGGCGGTTATTATGTTTTTTCATTTTTTATAATTTGTCATAATTTAGCGCAATTTTAATCTTTTAGCTAATAATTGATACGTTTGTGTAATTTTTGACTCATCTATTTAACGATAGGGATAAACAGTTTCTGAGCATTTGTGAAATACCAATATGGAAGCTTTATTTCAATCAGTTTTGGCGTTCAATCAGCGAAGTTACTCTTTTCGTTTAATACAAACAGCTTAAATCAAAGAGTACAGCTATTTACTCTTTGGCTTACATGGATTTTAAATTATGCTCATAGGTATTAGATTTAAAAATTATTTCTTTATCTATTTTCTCAGGTAGAATTTTATCAGGTCAAGTTCTGAAGCCTTCAAGCATCGACATTCAATTGATTTTTAGTGCTGATTATTGATTTGGTTTTTAAAATTCATTGAGACAGTTTGAATTGTATTGAAATCAATTTTATTTTACTCTTTGGTTACAATGGATCGAATACACCTCTGAAAATTCAAGCCTATTTGCTTAAACTGATTTTATTTACATTATGTATCGGTTTCAAGCTCTAAATGATAAGATTAATCCATGTTTTAATCATATTGTTACTCCTTTCATGCAATAAAATGGCTGAATGTAGCATATGCTGAGACCCAATTTTCAGAGCTGTGTATGATTTATTTTAAAATTACAGTGAATTTACAATGTTTACAATGTACAATAACATTAGATAATATAATAAGAGTGTTAAACATAACAAAAAATTAATTTTAAAAGCAGCTGATCGATTTTCAATCAATTAGCTCTTCACCAAAATCATCCATTGATTTCAATTCTTGAGGCAGATGAGCATCTATTGAGCCTAATTCACTTTCAATTGAATCTTTACTTTTTCCTTTATGAGATTTTACACTCTTGCTTAAATGGTGTTTATGAGTGGATAAACGTCCCCCATGAATTGAACCATGATCAACTCCTTTATAACTAGATGGATGATAGGATAATTTCATTGAATCAGATTCATCATTCCAACCACGTATTGGCTTCTCGTATTTGTCAAACTTCATTTTCTCAATCTTCTTGTCCACTGAGGAAGCTGATTTACCGGCGTCACTTTTCCACTTTTTAGATGATTTCTCCTTCTTCCCATGTTTCTCCATCTTTTTACCCGATTCCTTTATTGATCCACCCTTTTTCTTGGATGATTCATAATGAGATCCACCAGCATCACTGGCTAAATCCTTTGAAGATCCAACCTTTTTACCCTTTTTACCCTTGTGGTGAACAGATGATTGCCATTTTCCTCCTTCTTCCTCCTCCAAATGACCACCCTTGTTCCAATTCCAGGTTTTCATAATACCATCACCACGATTCCATTTCTTATCCATACCTTTATCCTTGCTTTTATGTAAGTCGGATTCTGCATGGAAACCATTTTCCTTTTTAACTTTATGTTTACCTTCACCAAGGTACATTTCAGCATCTTGTTTGGCTTTATCCAATTTACCTTTGCTTGATGATTTCAGATTTTTCCACCCATCAGAGTCAGCTTCCTTGTGAGATCCATGAGCTTTCTTATATCCAGAGACTTTGGAATCACTTTCTACATTAACATCAGATACTTTATCCACAGAAAGATCGGGCAATTGTTGAGTCAGATTTACTGAATTGAAAAGCACAAGCAACAAAACATAAGAACAAATATTGATAATTAACTTCATGATGAAAATTTTGGTTGATAGCCAACGTAAAATGTTAACAGATTACTGATAAGTTTTTATAACTTTACGTGCCTTTTGTTACCCAAAATCCGTTGATTTAAAGAGGTTAAAGGCGCATTTCGAAACCTTAGCAATCTGTTTCTTGATTTGTTGATTTTTATAAAGCAGTAACTGCGCGCCTTTAGTCGGCTGATACATTACTCTTTGGTTGTGTCTAACTGTTGCATTTTTTTTGTCTTTTGTGCTTTTCTATTTTAAACAATTGTGTTGAAAGTTACTTTTTTTATTGTTCTTTATTTTTTTGTTTGGCCTATCAATTAAACAGGCGTAAAAAACATCGTTTGGTAAGTTTTCCAATATTGTGCCTGATTCCCATTAGTTGTATTGTAAGACCTTGGCTTTTTTCTTTCTTTTCCACCTTCTCTCCTTTTCAGTTGCTATAATGTAATAAAGAATGGGATTAATTCTTATTTTATTATCTGAGTCAGGAGTAAATCACACAAGATTCAAGTTTTACTGTGGAGCAAACGAATGAAGGCTCATCTGTCTGTTTTCTTTGCTCATCTGTCTGTTTTCTTTATTTTGATTTTTTATCCATTTCTCATCTCTGTCAACAATTTCTTTAAATTGTTTATCTGTTGTATTGGGGTTCAAATCACAACCAAAGCTATGGATACCGGTGATCACAAACTAGACCATGATCCTGTTCCTATTTTGCCAGAAAACCAGGAAAAAACCAGGAAATATTTGATAAATTACGAGTCTTCTTTCGAGAAAAAATTCAATGAAATCCATCTTACATTGTCCGAGTTAAGTTGATTGGTGAACATTTTGACTACTGTGGGTTCGGTGTTCTTCTTATGGCAATTGAACAGGACGTTTACAGCTGATTTCCGTTTCCATTTTGGTAGTTGCTTCTTCTTTTCCCGCAGCGGAAAAACTTGCAACAAAGCTGCTACAGATGATTACAATGCAAGGATTCTCGAAACTAAAGTTACCTCTCTTATGATTGCTGACCATTGCCACTCAATCATGAAACCTGGTCACATTACTTACCCCACTCTAGCTCAAATAAAAAATCAGATGAACAAAAATTTCGATGAGATGCTTGAATTGTCAACGAGTCCATTCAATGGACTCCATTGAGATGGGAAAAGTTTAAAAGCTTTCAGATCTTATTAAGCATTTTGATTTTACAGATTCGGAAGAACTCGCTTTTCTGCTTTCGAACGGATCGACCTGTACAATGGAGAAAATGCTAACAATTATGCGTGTCCTGCAAAATTATGGACAATGCTCATCATGGACAAAATTCATCATAAAACAACTCATGTTAACTCAGAAGCTCAAAGAGTTTAAAAAGTTGTTAAATTGTGCTCAAATCGTAGTCTATCTGGTGACCAAATCTTGATTGAAATAGGACAATTGATGAATGAAAGTCATGATAGCTGTTCAAATCTGTATGAATGCAGTTGCCCAGAAGTGGATACATTGGTTGCTCATGCTAATTCATTTGGTTCACTCATTTGGATCAAGAATGACTAGAGCTGGGTTGGGTGGTGTTGTCTCACTGGTACCAGAGTAACTGTCCTCTCAATTTCACGAATTAATGGCCCAGATATCATTATTCACAGGTGTTAGTCTGCCTAGTCAAGGAAAAATCATCTATATCTAACCTTAAACCCCAATTAAAGTCTTAAATTTCGAAACCCTAGCAGTCTGTTTCTTGATTGGTTGATTTTTTAAAGCAATAGTTGCGCGCGTTTTGTCGGTTGAGTCTCACTGTTGCCACTTTTTTGTTTTCTTTTGTGCATTGCTATTTTAAACAATCGTGTGGAAAGTTACTTTCTTTATTGTTCTTTACTTTTTTTGTTTGGCCTAACAATTAAACAAGCTTAAAAACATCGTTTGGTAAGTTTTCCAATTTTTGTGCCTTATTCCCATTAGTTTATATCGATAAATTTGGTAAGACCTTGGCTCTATTCTTTTCCACCTTCTCTCCTTTTCAGTTGCTCATTTTTGTTGTCCATTCACCTGTTACTCCACATTAGAAATAACCAATCCACATTTTAAGTATTGTTGCACATTTACTTAATTAAAATGAGTTCTGGCTCCAAATTTATTGTTGACTGGTTGATTTTTGCGAGTGATGGCCTCGAGGACAATAATGATAATCCAAAGGATAGGAGAAGACGTAAGTTTTTATTTTGTTGATTATGTTTTTGGTTGTTATCTACCCACCGTCTTTCCTTTTGTTGTGAGTTTTACATGATTATGAATTTGGTGTGTGATAATTGGCAGGTAATTTTGTCCAACATGGAATGTTACTATGATAATGGCTCTTGTATTTCTCAGGTTCATCTTAAAATGTCAAAGATTTAAGACCAAATTTTATCTTTTTCCGATCAAAACAGATAAAAACAATAATCATCGCAAAGGTAGCAATCTCAAAAACAAGAGAATCAAAATCAGAAATGGCAATGTGCCCGAAGCACGAGATGAGAACAAGGATGCTCCACAATTTGATCAGCAGCTTTCTCTTTATGTAGACAATTATGAAGGTACCAACTTTGAAAAGGGCAAGTATTGATGTTGCCACAATTATGATGATTTTACGTTGACTGTATTGCCGTTGGACTGGTTCTATGTCATGAGCCAACAAATAAGACTCTGTTTGAATGGTGAGTATAACGTTGATCTCAATCAAGCGAAGAGCCGAAAAGATGACGGTTGATGAAAAGGAAGATAAAATGAGAGCAAAAAGGACCATTCGAAGAGCAATGAGGTTCACTGCCAACGACTCAGCTGCGCTGGTCTGAATGGTTGCCGCATAACGTACCATAGCCATTGTTAGAAATTTCAAGAGAAGAGTAAACATCCAATGGAAAATTTTATAAATTAGTTTTGTGTATACAACTTAATTCTGATAATTACCATTTCAATATTGGAGCAATATTGTTCAACGAGTCAGAATTCCAATTACACAACATTCAAAACAATACACACTGTTTGGTAAACATTTGGTGAACCTTCACTTTCAGAGATAGAATACATTCTGAACTCAGAGACTTACTGGCCTTTGGCTCTGCTTCTAAATCATTTTATTTTCCTTCAGAGTATCACCAATTACCTTGATTATAGATAATCGTTCACGCACTTGTTGGTTAATACTAATTTGAATATGTTTACTTTTTTCAGATTGATATAGAATGTCCTTTGGTCATCACGATATCTTGGTTTCACCTAATGGATAGAAAAATATTTTTTAACCTAAATAATTTTCATTGAACTAGCCCCTTTTTTGTATTTAATCATCGGTCAAGTAATTTCATCAAATTTTGTATTATCTTCTACCTCAATGATAAACCCTTCATTTCCATTAATCCTATTTCAATAATTTTCCTCTCAATCCACAATTTCAAATGTATCTTGAAAGAATGCATTTCACAACATGTAACCTAAATAACAAAATGTTAAAGTAAACATTTCATGATAAATCCTTGAATTGATCTTAGATCATCCATGAATATGACATTCAACAATCCTTATTTAGTTAATCGACTACTAAATGGCGTATCGGTGACAAAAAATATTTCACAAAATTACGATTAACCTTTTCAATATTACTCATGATCAAGGTAATATTGTTTTGTATTTTGACAAAAACCTTAGTATTCCTATTTTGTGACTACGCTATTGAACTGAAATCAGCCATTGTCTTCATATCAACTATATTCATATTTCAGAATTATAGTTTTTTTCAGTGAAACTCAATTAAAATTAATTGATGAGACGATTTAAATTTACATTCCGCGCCATTCCTCACTAGAGACATCTAATGGATCAATTTTGTTTGATGAGTGACAACAACAAAAGTTTGTTATCAACGATGAATTAACATTGGATTAATTAATGAAATGTGTACTAACCAAGAAATTTTATGCTATGCTGGTGATTTAATTTGAACAAAGTTGAGGTACTATGTTTTATCAGCTGTTTAGTTGGTGCTTTCATCTTCTCTCTATCGTTCTCCTTACCTGTATTCCTGTTTTATTTTTAACTTGGTTGATATCTTGTGGTCTATTGATGGCAATGAAAACCAATAAAAATGCCAAAAGAATCGGTATATTCCATCCTTATTGTAATGCTGGTGGTGGAGGTGAACGTGTATTATGGGTTTTGTTGAAAGCTCTCAAAACTAAATACCCGAATCATCAATATGTTATCTATACCGGTGATCAAGGAGTTACAAAAAGTGATATTTTATCAAAAGCAGCTTCTACCTTTAATATCGATACCGATTTAGACGTTGACTTTGTTTTTTTGAAAACTCGACATTGGGTAGAAAAGGAAAAATATCCTCGGTTCACCTTGTTACTTCAAAGTTTAGGCTCCATGATCATGGCAGTCGAGGCTCTCTTTAAATTTCCACCCGATATCTTTATCGATACTATGGGGTACAGTTTTTCGTACCCATTATTCAAATATTTGGGCTTCTGTAATGTTATTACTTATACTCATTTTCCCACAATCAGTACCGATATGTTGGAAAATGTCGCATCTCGACGAGAAGCAGTTAATAATCAAGGTTTCATCGCTCGCAGTCAATTTTTATCAAATATGAAGCTTATTTATTATAGATTTTTCGCTCTTATCTATGGTTTTATGGGCCGCTGTGCTGATATTGCATTGGTTAATTCAACATGGACTCGTAATCATATCATGAAAATATGGGGAGGTGATAGAGTTCATCTTGTTTACCCGCCATGCAATATCGATGTTTTCCTAGAGCTGTCATCAGAGTCTAAAAATAAATACCAAGTTGTTTCAATTTCTCAATTCAGACCTGAAAAGGATCATATCAAACAAATTCATAGTTTTGCTAAATTTCTTGACAAGTGAGTAAATTTTTAGTCTAATTGTTATCAAAAATTTAATTTAATTCTTTCAACTCACAGACTTACCCCTGAGGAATCTTCTAAAGCTAAATTGGTTTTGATTGGAAGTTGTCGCGATTCTCGTGATGAAGAGCAAGTTGATAAGTTACGAGAACTATGTGAATCGTTGGATATTCATGAAAAGGTGACACCATTTTGTGACATTCTCAATATCGTACTAATGTGATGAATATTCATAATTTGAATTTTACTTGTCCACAGGTCAATTTCGCGTTAAACTTAAGTTTCGTTCAGTTGCTTGACTTTTTGAGAACAAGTAATATCGGGATTCACACTATGAGAGAGGAACACTTCGGTATTGGAGTTGTTGAACTTATGGCTGCTGGACTGATTGTGGTTGCTCATAATTCTGGTGGCCCTAAGTTGGACATCATTCGACCAGGCGAGAATGGTTTTCTTTCTGAAACAGTCGATGAGTATGCTGATTCGCTACTAGAGATTGTCAGAAGTGATGAAAATAAACTTAACGTTATTCGTGCTAATGCGCGTAAGCATGTCATGAAATTCAGTGAGAAAAATTTCAGTTCGGAAATAATCAAAATATTTGCCGATTATTTAAAATAAAATATAATTTATTTCATTTTTGCTGTTTTAATTTCATGATTTAACCCTTCATCCAAGAGCGATGTATTCAAAACCTTCCAACATTGAAGTTGGTAGTTTTATTTTTTGAAGCAGGATGTCGCTCATCTCATAGATAATCATATGTTTCTGTTCTTAATTCATCGGTTTATCATACTTTGTTTATTTTAATGTTTTTTGCTTAATCTTGTTTTATTGGTCATTTTTCTCACATCATTCTGTCCATTTCGGTTCTTAAACTTCCTGAATAATTTTCTAAAATGTCTGAACCAGTTGATAGTGTTCATTTTGATGGGATATTCCAGCAAACATACAACTTTAGAGATTGGTCGATTGTCACTCGTCGAAGTCACATTTTACAATCGAAATGCAGTGATAATTGTGAAGATAAACCAAACTCTCCCTGTCTTTTTTGCAAGTAAGTTTCCACTAGCTTAAGAATTAACTAAACTCTAACCATTTTCTTTCTTTGTTCTCAATAATTTATTGAACTTTAGATTCGGACAAGAATTATCTCTGGTCCATTTGCCAGATATGACGTTTGCCAAAAACATCTTAAGAATAGTTCATAAGAAGGGATTTGGTCTTGAATTTGACTGTCTCAATGCTCTAAAATCAATACCCAAAACAGCACCAGAAGGTATGAAAGTTGATTCATCAGAGGAATGGTTGAAGGCGCGAGAAGATTGTCAACACTCAAAGAGAGTTCCCAATCCATTCGATTGGACTTTCACTACAAAATATAAGGGCCACTTAATTCCCAGTCTTAATGGTCAAACACTAATTGAGGAACCAACAAGTGAAATAATTGATATTGACAAACTTAAAGTTAAAGAAAATATACTTTTCTATGATGAAGTCCATTTATTTGAAGATGAATTGGCAGACAATGGAGTAGCGCAATGTTCAGTTAAAATAGTGAGTAATGAAACATTCTGACATTTAGTTTTTTCAGAGGGTTTAGACAATCCAACTAAACTATGTCAAAAATTTTACTCAAAATTTCATAGTATTATATCTAGTGATATTTACTAATTGAAATCAATGTTTAAAAAATTTCATTCTCAATATCTCTCAGCCCCTTTACTAATATTTTATTCATTTTTACCTCATTCATTTTACAGCGAGTTATGCAGCATTGTTTTTTCATCTTATTAAGATATTTTTTGAGAGTCGATAAAGTGATGGTCCGAATCAATGATACAAGAATTTTCTATGAAGTAAGTGGATAAATTTCTATGTGATAAATGATCATCAAGCTTCAAATATTGCTTTGTTAGCATCTATTTGCATCCGAGTTTAATTAATATAAATTTTTCTCTATTCAATTTTACAGACTGACAAAAATTACATGTTAAGAGAGTACACAAGTAAAGAACAAGACATATCGAAAATTGCTTTGCCTATCGAAACTTTACTGGATCCAGTTTTATTAAGCCAACAACTACCTACAAAGGAAAAAATGTACCACAAACTAAAATTTCCTTGTTGATGATAAATTTTGCAAGGCAAAAATTTTTTCTATTGGATCTCAGGTGCGCAAAGGGCAAATTTCACACTACTCAGTGAAATTAAGTTGTGTTAATTTATTTTTTAGCAGATTTACAATGAAAGATGAATGAAAGATTCCATTTGTATTGAAGCATGGTCAATATAATACAATCAGAAGATAAATGCTAAAGCTAAACTTGCTACATTTAGCCTTTCATCAAATGTGATCTTTCCATTGTAATAGCTTTCATTTATTGGAAAACTTTCATCCAAGGTCTTAAAACAATATAAAATGAGGTTGAATTGTTCTTCGGATTAAAATTGACAATCGAGTATAAATATTTCTACATTATTTTTGTAATCTAAATGACACTATTCAAGTAAATTAGTGAAAACACAACAATTGTTTATTGCATCTGCACAAGGATTCTTTGCAATAACAGTTAAAATTCATTAAAATGTGAATTTCTTATATTTTTAAATTTAATTGAATATTAAAAAATAATCTATAGCAATGAAGGAATCTAGTAAAAGTTCATCCATACCAGGTGAAAGGGAAATTATATTCCGTTCCGATGACTACATAAAAAAATGTAAAATCATTAAATCAAAAGGTCAAGTATTACTTGTCAGTGATCAAATGCAAACGGACTATCAAATTATTGTCTACAAAGGATCATCAGGTGGTTATGCTGTTTTTATAACAAAAGAAGAGGCCAAAGGTGGTAGAATCTTTGACAGATTATCAGATGTTTTCGATAATCTCACGAGATTCATCATCTATAAATCACGAAGTAAGTTTATTTCATTTTAAATTTCCAAATTCTAGTAGCTTTACAGTTGGATTATGTTCACCATTTAATTCATTTTATTTCTTTACCAACAATTAGGTAGGATTATTCGTCTTTTAAAGATGATAGTCGACACTAGCTTAGCCCACTGGGACTGGAAATGGATTCATGTGGCCGCTCACCTTGATATGTGTAATGTCTTCAATGTACCAATTCCTGAAAGTCTGTTGAATGATAATGAAAATTTGAACCGCCAGACACCTTTATTGATCGCGATCAAGGCCAACAAGATTGATATGGTTAAAATTATTCTAACGTGTAAACCCAACTTGACTCTTGTTGATATCCACGATGACACATGTCTTCATTTAACAGCTCTTGGACCAACCAATTTGTTACGTTTAGTGTTAAAAGAGTGCCATCATTATCATGGATTATCCCTGATTGAAAAAGCCAACAACTTGGGCCACACTCCATTCCATTTGGCTTGTTATCACGAGAAGACTGCGAATGTAAATGAATTTCTCAAAATTGGTCTCTCCATTCGCTTATTGACTTTGGGAAAGTGTGATATAGAAATAACGGGTGAATTGTTACCAGAGCAGTCAGATTTGGACTATCAACCCTCATCGATGAGTGTACAATCCAAGAGTGAAACAATTGTAATTTTCAATAGTGATATGTTGAATAATCTGGACGTGGATGAATCTAAACATGGTGGCAGTCCTTTACATTGGTGTAAAAGGCGTAAATTGATGTCTCTTTTGATTGATTATGGATTTACTCTGGATGTAGTTAATCTTTTGAATGAAACTCCACTTTTCTCAATGATTCGTAAACAAAGACTTGACTGTATGTTACCATTGCTCAATGCTGGTGCAAGTGTTGATATCTATGGTCCTGAGGGACAAACGCCTTTAAATTTTGCTATTGAAAAAGGTTTTCGAGATTGTTTTCAAGCTTTAATCGTCTTTGATTGTGACTTTAATTTTCCTAACAAGAAAAAGGCTACTCCAAGACACTTTGCAGCACAAAATATATTGCCGATTCACTCGTACATGTTGCATGTTCTCAATAAATTAGGAGCTTTGCGATGTAACCCGAATTTTAATGGATGTAAAGACGGCTGTTTGTACAATGGATCTTTCAATGGTCAACCTGATACAGATCAACCAACCATCAGTAATAAACATTTTTATTTTGATAGAATCGCTAAGGTAGCCAATCAAGAAGCTGAAACCAAATCATCTGAAACACCTGATCTCTCCAAAAAAGTCAATATGTTGTGTATTGACGGCGGAGGAATGAAAGGTTTGTTTGGAATCCAAAGTATGATTGAGATTCAAAAATTGCTGGACAAACCATTGATTGATTATTTTGATTGGATTGGAGCGACCTCAACTGGTGCGATCATTGCTTCCTCACTCATTATTGGCAAATCATTAAAACAATTGAGAGCCGATTACTTTGAATTGAAAGATGAAATATTTAACAGTAAAAGGCCACATAATACTGAAGCTTTGGAACGAGTTTTGAAAAAGTATGTTGGATCCGATCGAAAGATTTCCTCAATCTCTTGGAAGAAGCTGATGATTACCTCTATATTGGCCGATCGAGATCCACCACGTCTCCATCTATTTCGCACTTATAAGCCCTCGATCGATTTAAATGAACCATTCACTATGGAAGGAGAATCATCAAAGTCCATGGATGACTTTAATCTCTGGGAAGCAATAAGAGCTTCATCGGCAGCTCCAGTCTTTTTCAAGCCTTACGGTCCATTCATTGATGGTGGCTTGCTCTCCAATAATCCGACACTCGATTGTCTAACGGAATTCTTTAATTGTAATCCAGCCAATAGTGAAGGTTCAAACCATGAGTCTTATTCGGATAAAAGAGATGATAGTGAAACGATCCAACAAAAAGAAACATTGAATCTTGTTTTGTCTATAGGCAATGGTAAACCACATCCAACATCTGTTGTCAACTTTGATTATGGCAATATGGCTTTTCGTAGGAATCCTGTTGGAGTTTTCAGATCAGCCTTTAAGTATATAACATTGGGTGAATTGATGGTTAAACTGGCAACTCATCCAGATAATCATGTTGTCCAAAGAAGCCGAGCTTGGTGTAAATCACTAAATGTGTCGTATTATCGGTTGAGTCCACCATTAAGAGAGAAGCTTAAATTGGATGAAACCCAGGACGAAAAGATTATTGACGGAATGCTTCAGTCAAAGATTTATATTTACACAATTAAAGATGAAATCACTAACCTTTTGACTAACATTAAAGCCAGATCAAGCTGATATTTGTAGCTTTTTGTTATTTGCTATCCCAATAAAGTCATACTGTAAATTATTTTGATGTGATTTTTTTAAAATTAAAATTTTACTGTAAGCTTTTTGGATAAATTATTGTCAAATAATTCGGAGACATTAAATGACTTTAAAAATTTAATTTTTTTCTTGTTTCGGAAGCAAATGGTTCAAACCTGACGAGACATTTATTGTTCATAAGTTGAAATTGAAAACAGACGTAAAATGAAATAAAAAATGCATTGTATTTAACTGTTGATAATATAAGTTGATTTGAATTATGAAGTGAACTTCGTCTGAGGATTAGATTAACCAATGAATTCTGATCCAGACATCAGTCGTATTTTTTCTGCTTAATTTCTTGAATGAATTACGAAAAATATTGATACACTTTTAAATTGTAGATCTATCAATTTTAGTTGCAATTAAATGTTCTGTTTTTGAATTGTGGTCGTAGCATCATCTTTTTATGCGTCACAAGAATAATGTAAATGAGTAAACTTTACCTTAATAAACATTTACCTGACAAAAATTACAAACCTATGAATTTTTTGTACAATTTAAATCACTTCACATTTTATGATATTGAAGTCAATACAAAAGAAACGAAACGCCATTCAGGGTTGTTTATGATTGTTCATTGGTAAATATTTAGAAGCTGTTACTCTATAGAATCCTGATCAATTCATAACTAACAGTTATTAACGAATATATTTGCTAAAAATAATAGAAAAGTTGAGGTTACAATAATGAAATTGATTGATCTTTGTTGATTTTGTAGACCTAAAAATCCAATCATTCAATTAGATTCAGTTTATTAGTTTTATGTTTCATTTGTTTTGATTAGCAAAAATGTAACCCAAATTATGATATTTGCCTGTCAATAATTTGTAATGATGAGTAAGTATATAAAGTCTGGTTGATTGGGTTAACCGGTACAAGTTAATTTAAATCTTAACACAAGAGTTATCATAATATTCAATTTTTTCCTAAAATTTACACTTCTATTCCAACATTGATCATGATTCGCCAAAGTCTTACACTTATCTTGGTGTTGTCTGTAATTTCATCAATTCACAGCCAACTGAGTCCCGCAGACGTATTGAATCAAGTATGTGAGACCTCGATGAAAACAATAAAAGCTGGAACTTATGAGAAGAGAATCAAAGACAGGCAAGAATGCAGGGTAAGTATATGTCAATCTTATTGATTGCTGGTTATCCTCAATCCCTATTGCTATCAAATAACTTAAATCATTAAATGACAGGAGAAAACCGTACCTAAAGACGTACTCGCTGCAGCGGCTAAATGTGAAGAAGCCATGCCAATGTTGACTGCTGATCAGGTAAACAAAGTGTGCAACGCCAAGGATGCTAATCTAGCTAAATTTACTGAGGTAATTTCATCCAAATCAACCTAAGGCTTTGTTATCCTCTTTTACTCTGCAATTAATTGTACTGATTTATATTTTCTCTTTTAATTGAAGGTTCTTGGATGTTTTGATAAAGTGCTTGGTGAACAATATACTGCTAAATTTTCGGTAAGTATAGCATAATATCTGAATGGACGACTGAAACCTAATTTTTCTCTATCCTTTCCAACCAACAATAGAATTGCTGCAATTTAATGGATCCAGATAATGATTCAAAGCGTTCCAATTGATTCAGCGAAAGTTAAACGAATTGGTTCGTCTATGATCTAATTTCAATCTCTCAACATTAAAACTTGAAAAATATTGAACACATTTTTATGATTTGAAAAATAAATATTTTATAGCAAAAAAATCTTGTTTGAACGCAATCTTTTATTCGTGTTTATGCTCTCTGTTGCCTCCGAGTTTGCATCACTTTCCTGATGTTTCATCATCCAGATTTTATTACGAAATTTAATAACACGTATTATATTCAACTGTTGATTTGAGCAAATGTGCATGAAACTAAGAAGTTATATAACGTCTGGAGGAACGGATAAAACATCACAAGTCGATTTCAATCCAAACATTAAAGTATTCATTTTGTAAAATCTATTCTCAATCTTTTCTCAAATTATTCCTCTATCCATACATTCATCATGAATGGACAAAGTTTCATCTTATTATTGATTGTAATTTCATCTATTCACTGTACTTCCATCATGCCGGATCCTGCAAAAGTCTTTAACGACATGTGCCGAGCCCGACTAAAAGCAATAAAGGAAGGAACTTTTGAAAAATTGATAAAAGATAGAGAAGCCATGAAGGTAAGTTCGAGTAAAATTTCATTAGACCGATTCAATAACTGTGCATTCCTAATACTGAGCGTGATTATTAAATGATAGGAAGCAGGACTGTCTAAGGATGTACTTGCTGCTGTGAACAAATGTGAAGAAGCTTTGCCGTTGATGACTGCTGACCAAAATACTAAAGTTTGTGGCGATATGAAGGCTAATTTACCTAAATTTACCGAGGTAATTCTTTTGACATTTTGTCTTCGTTTACTCTACGATTTTATCATTACGATCTTTTTCTCTTTTCGTTTCAGATGGTCAATTGTATACATAAAGCGATTTCCAGTTCTAATAGAAGCGCTTTGGGAAACGATCCACTCTTTTCATAATTTCGAGCTAAATCGCTAGAAAAGATCACACCAAGATTAATGCTTACAAACTTTGTTAGCTAAAAAACATGAAATGTCCTAATGAGCTTCATAAACAAAACTTGGCCACTCCATCCAAAAGTGAATCAAGATATACCTGAACAAAGCAACAATTTAAAGCTGTAGAGATGAAAATAAAAATAACAAAATGCTAAAGAAAAACTAAAATTGATTTATTACTGAATGGCTCTGAACATTAAAATAAAAAAGCCAAAAAGATCTTATCCCCAATCACCAAAAAACATAACGAAACAGTAAAAATAGGCTTAAATGTATTAACTTCTATTGCATTATTTCTGGTTTTCTGGTTAAAACACTTCTCTTAACAAAGGTTTAACAGTTTAAAAGATTGACATAAAGTAAAGTATCTTTAAAGAGTAAACGCGAAACTTTTTTCTTTTGAGTCTTGAGTAGACACTTTGTGCGACATTGAAACTGAATCGATTGGTGCCATTGAAAAATTTCTCAGATCGATATTCTTCGAGAAAATTGAGGTTGAAGTTGAAACTTCGATTGCGTTTTATCCAATAGAGAAAGCAGATTTTTACTCAGAAACTCATTACACTGATGATACTTTTGATTGTCAACCAGAAAACAAAAATATTTTGATAAATAAAACTCCACTTTTTCTGTAAATCAGATCAGTTCGATTTTCGGTTAAACATGTCGCATTCTGTCACCATAAGGGTTAAAGAGCTATAATTTATTATTTGTCGATAAAATTTGTTAATAAACATCAACAATCGAACGCTTTTTTCTTTTTATCGATAGCTCTCCTGTTTTGGCCCATTTACCTAAAAACTTTGAGCATCAATATTTCGAGATCGGTAGTACATACAATGATCATTCTTGGACGAAACATTAGATTTATTATGGTCAATAACATAATATAACTTAAAACCTGAGAAAAAGTTGACGGCTTAACCCTAATCGAGATCAAAGTACTGCAAATCTGGTTAATTTGATTGAAAACAGCACAAAACAATGCATAATGCACTTTTGCAACAAAGATTTATTAGTTGTTTAAATTAAAGTAAAGTACCGTTGAAAGCGTAAACGCAAAGCATATTTCTTTTGGATTAAGAGTAGTGTCTTCGTGCGAAATTAAAGTTGTGTCCATTGGTGCCATTAAAAACTTTTTCCTATTGATAGTCTTCGAGAAAATTGAGGTCAAAGTGGAAACTTCGCTTGCGTTTTATTCAATAGCGAAAGTAGATTCTTACTCAGAAACTCATTAAACTGATGATAATTTTGATGGTTAACCAGAAAATAAAACTATTTTGAGAAAAAAAACTTTACTTTTTTTGTAAATCAGATCAGTTCGATTTTCACTTAAATATGTCGCATTTTGTGACCATAAGAGCTAAAGAGCTGAAACTCATTATTTGTCGATGAAATTTGTTGGTACACATCAAGCATTGAATGCTTTTTAAAATTTAGCGACAGCTCTCTTGATATTGGCCATTGGCCTTAAAACTTTGATTCTCAATATTTCGAGTTTGGTAGCACCTAAAATCTTCATTCTTAGATCAATGATTAGCTTTGTGGTGGGCTATAACATAATAAAGTTTGAAACTTACAAAAAGTGGACCAACTTAACCCTAAACGTGATCAAAGTACTAAAAAGTCTGGTTAATTTGATGAGAAACAGCACAAAACAATGCATAATGCACTTTTTTAACAAAGATTGATTAGTTTAAAAACTTGAAGTAATGTACCGTTCAAAGCGTAAACGCTAAGCATTTTCTTTTGGATTAAGAGTAGGAACTTTGTGCGACATTAAAAGTGTGTCCATTGGTGCTATTAAAAACTTTCTCCGATTGACAGTCTTCGAGGAAATCGAGGTCAAAGTGGAAACTTCGATTGCGTTTTATTCAATAGCGAAAGCAGATTTTCACTCAGAAACTAATTACACTGATGATAATTTTGATTGTCAATCAGAAAACAAAGTATTTTGATAAATAAAACTTTACTTTTTCCGTAAATCAGATCAGTTCGATTTTCGTTTAAGCCTGTCGCATTATGTGATTATAAGAGTTAAAGAGCTGAAACTTATTGTTTGTTGATAAATTTTGTTGGTACACATCAAGCATTGAATACCTTTTTCAATTTAACGACAGTTCTCTCGATATTGAACATCGGCATTTAAACTTTGAGCGTCAATATTTCGAGATAGATAGCACCTACATTAATCATTTTTTGTCGAAACATTAGATTTATTGTGGGCTCTAACTTAGTACCTGAGAAAAAGTTAACTTCTTTACCCTAAACAGTGATCAAAGTACTAAAAAATCTGGTTCATTAGATGCAAAAACAGTGTAAAACAATGCATTATGCACTTTTCTTGTTCCTTAATTAGTACAATGCGCTTTCAAAGAGTCAAGAAAATATCCAATTATAACATTATGTACCATTTATCGTGAATTATAACTCGAAACTTTAGTTGATTTGTAACTTTGACAAAATATCAGTTTTTTAGCTCTTTGAGAAACAATTTAAAATCTATTATAATATCCCAAAGGCTTGTTTGTGTCATAATTTTGATATTGATATTTATTAAATTAACACCTGCATTTCATACAACTTAAAATTCAATCATTTATCAACTACAAGTTAATTTAATATTGATTTAGATTTAAATTGATCAATTTGATTTTTCATTCAACGAAATTACTTATGGTTTAAATCTAAAATTACTTTTCCCATCTGCAATGAGTGACAATAAATTTATTTCCAATTTGGTTTTCAAATCAATCTGCTAAGCAAATCAGGCTTAAATGTAATTCAAAACTTAATTTAAAACTTGAACTCCTCTGAAACCATTTTGTATGAAAACTGAGTTAACCAAAGAGACGAAATGGATCAAACGAATCAAATCAAGTCTCGGCACTAAAATAGTTTGATGATTAGCATGTTCATTGGCAAATATTTAGAGGCTGTTACTCTATAGAATCCAATTCATATCGACGTAAATGATGACTAGAATTAATAGAAGAGTTGAGGTTACAATGAGATTGTTTGGTCTTTGTTGACTTTGTAAAACTTTACAAATCCTTTCATCAATTAGATGCAGTTGATTAGTTTTGTTTCATTTGTTTAGCAACAATATAACCTAAATTATGATATTAGCCTGTCAATAATTTGTATTTATGGGCAAGTACATAAAGTATATAAAGTCTGGTGGATTGGGTTAACTGGTACAAGTTAATTTCAATCGTACAAGAGTTGTCATAATATTTCAATTTTTCCCTAAAATTTACACTTCAATTCCAACATTGATCATGATTCGCCAAAGTCTTACACTTATCTTAGTGCTGTCTTTAATTTCATTTATTCACAGCCAACCGAGTCCTGCAGAAACATTTAACCGTATGTGTGAAACCTCGCTGAAAGCAATAAAAGCTGGAACTTTTGAGAAGAGTATCAAAGAGAGGCAAGAATGCAGGGTAAGTTTATGTCAAAAGCATTGCTAATTATTCCAAAAACTATTCCATTGCTGTTATGAAATATTATCAAATAACTTAAATCATTAAATGACAGGAGAAAGCCGTACCAAAAGACGTACTCGCTGCAGCGGCTAAATGTGAAGAAGCTATGCCAATGGTGACCATTGATCAAGTAAACAAAGTGTGCAACGCCAAGGATGCTAATCTAGCTAAATTTACTGAGGTAATTTCATCTAAATCAACCTAAGGATTTGTTATCCTCTTCTACTCTGGAATTGATTGTACTGATTTATCTTTCCTCTTTTCATTGAAGGTTCTTGGATGTTTTGATAAAGCGATCGGCGGGGAATACGCCGATAAGTTTTCGGTATGTATGGCATAATCTTTGCATGAACAACCATTGAAACCTAATTTTTCTCTATCTAACCAACAATAGGATTGCTGCAAGTTCATGGATCCAGAAAATGCTGCAAAGCGTTCCAAGTGATTCAGAGAAAGTCAAACTAAATGATGCATGATTTGTTGGATTTCTTTCTTCTAACATTACAACTTGAAAAATATGTAACACAGTTTTATGATTTGATAAATAAACAGTTCATAGCGAAAAATCTGGTTTCAACTCATTTTTTATTCGTGTTTGTGTAATTTTATAAATATTTTGCATTAAAATAAACTCGATGGGCAATTTGACAATTTTCATTTGATTCCACTTCACTGTGATTGATAATAATTTTTTCATCTCAACTCTGTAAATTATTACTGTAAATGGATTGATATAAAATAACTTGAAAGATGAAATTGAAAATGAGATCCAGATGTTAAATATAACACGAATTTTATTCAACTGTTTGAGTAAATTAACATGAAATTGAGAAGTTAGTATATAACGTCTGGAGGATGGAATTGAACATCACAAGTCGATTTCAATCCAAACAACAAAGTATTCATTTTCAATAAAATCTATTATATTTCAATCTTTTCTGAAACTTTTCCTCTATTCATACATTCATCATGATTGGACAAAGTTTCACCTTCATTTTACTATTAACTGTAATTTCATCTACTTATAGCGAGAAAAAAGATATGAATTCAGATTTAGCCCGTTTTGATCACATATGTAAGGCTTCGTTGAAAGCAATAAAAGAAGGATATTTCGACCTGAGGATCAATGAGAGAGCTGAATGCAGGGTAAGTTTCATTTCGATCTGAATTACTGACTATCTCAAACCACTATCAAATAACGCAAACTATTAATTAATAGGAGAAAGCTGTGCCTGAAAATATTATGACAGCATTGACTAAATGTGAAGCGACTTTGCCAATGGATTCACAGCAAGCAGTAAAAGATGCTTGCGCCAATGAGGCCGAAAATGCACCCAAATGGGCACAGGTAATTGTCAAGTCTGCTTCCATTCGATCCCCATTCGTATCAAAATTTATTCTGATTTCATTTTATTCCTCTTTCGCATTAGGTATGGGACTGTAAAGAAAAAGCATTCGGCAAAAATTACGATGCAATGCTAGCATATGCCGTAAGTATAGCATAATGTTGCCCTAAGAAAATAATTCTAACCATATTTTCTGTTTCTTTTTTGAACAATAGCTATGTACTTTGAACCAAGGTGCAAGATAGTTCATGAAAAAGTCCATTACAATTTCAACAAACCTAAACTAAGCAAAATGGTTCTTTCAATTACCGTTAATTTTGTCCAATTTATTCTCCTTGTCGTCACAATTTGAACAAATTTTCAACTCAAATGTTATTTTTGAATAATAAAAATTAAATAGCCAACAATTTGCTTCTCTGTGTTCGTTTTAATTTGTGTTAGGATAATTATGACGAGAAAATGACCAAGAGACTATAGAATGAAACAGTAATGAACCATTCTCGTGTCTTCTGGTAAATTGATTTAGGTTCCAATAATCTGGTTAGTTGATGTAAACAAGAGTAAAGCAATACTTTGTTTCACCAAAATTTAAACATTATTAGAAACAATATCAAAGGAATTAAACGCGAAAATTTTTTATTTAGAGTAGGGACTTTGTGCGACAGCAAAAACTTTCTCCGATGGACAGTATTCGAGAAAATGAGCTCAAAGCTTAAACTTCGATTGCGTTATCTTCAATAGCGAAAGTAGATTTTTACTCAGAAACTCATTACACTGATGATACTTTTGATTGTCAACCAGAAAAAAAAACTATTTTGATAAATAAAACTCTACTTTTTCTGTAAATCAGATCAGTTCGATTTTCAGTTAAACATTCCCCATTCTGTGACCGCAAGAGTTGGAGAGCTTAAACTAATTATTTATCCATAAAATTTGTTGGTACACATCAATTGAACGCTTTCTTCCTTTTATCGATAGTTCTCCTGATTTCGTCCATTTACCTAAAAACTTTGAACCTCGAAATTTCGAGATTGGAAGCACATACAATCATCATTCTTTGTCGAAACATTAGATTTATTATGGGTCATAACATAATAACACGTAAAACCTGAGAAAAAGTTGACCAACTTAACCCTAAACGTGATCAAAGTACTAAAAAATCTGGTTAATTTGATGTAAAACAGTGTAAAACAATGCATAATGCACTTTTTTAACAAAGATTTATTAGCTGAAAAACTTGAAGTAATGTATCGTTCAAAGCGTAAACGCAAAGCATATTTCTCTTGAGTTTAGAGTAGGGACTTTGTATGTCATTAAAACTGTGTCCATTGGTGCTATTAAAAATCTTCTTTGATTGACAGTCTTCGAGAAAATTGAGATCAAAGTCGAAACTTCAATCGCCTTTTATTCAATAGCGAAAGTAGATTTTACTCAGAAACTAATTACACTGATGATAATTTTAATTGTCAATCAGAAAACAAGATTATTTTGATAAATAAAACTCTACTTTTTCTGTAAATCAGATCAGTTCGATTTTCGGTTAAAGCTGTCGCATTCCGTGATCATAAGAGCTGAAGAGCTCAAACTTATTATTTGCAGATAAAATTTGCTGGCACATATCAAATCATCGACTATTGCAAGCTTGCATTGACAGTTCACTTGATATTGGCCATTGGCCTTAAAACTTTGAGTCTCAATATTTCGAGTTTGGTATCACCTACAATCTTCATTCTTAGATCAAAGATTAGCTTTATGATAGACTATGATATATTGAATGTAATGATTCAAGATTCAACAAGTTATAGCATTTATCACTTATTTTGTCTGATTTGATACTTTATTTATGAAGGTAAATGTTTATTTAAAAAAGTTTATTATTTAAAAAGAATATTCATTATTAGATTAATGAGCTCAGATTTTCTCAGCTACTAATTTATACCATGTTATAGTCCATGAAAAATCTAATGTTTGATCGAAGAATGAAGATTGTAGGTGCTGCCAAACTCGGAATACGGAGGCTCAAACTTTTAAGGCCAATGGCCAATATCAAGAGAACTGTCACTAAATTTGAAAAAGTATTCAATGCATGATATGCAACAACAAATTTCATCGACAAATAATGAGTTTCAGCTCTTTAGCTCTTATGGTCACAGAATGCGACATATTTAAGTGAAAATCGAACTGATCTGATTTACAGAAAAATTAAGGTTATATTTCGCAAAATAAGTCTGTTTTCTGATTGACAATCAAAAGTATCATCAGTGTAATTAGTTTCTGAGTAAAAATCTACTTTCGCTATTGAATAAAAGGCGATTGAAGTTTCGACTTTGACCTCAATTTTCTCAAAGACTGTCAATCGGAGAAAGTTTTTAATGGTACCAATGGACACAGTTTTAATGTCGCACAAAGTTCCTACTCTAAACTCAAGAGAAATATGCTTTGCGTTTACGCTTTGAACGGTACATTACTTCAAGTTTTTCAGCTAATAAATCTTTGTTGCAAAAGTGCATTATGCATCGTTTTGTGCTGTTTTCAATCAAATTAACCAGATTTGCAGTACTTTGATCTCGTTTAGGGTTAAGCCGTCAACTTTTTCTTAGGTTTTAAGTTATATTATGTTATTGGCCATAATAAATCTAATGTTTCGAAATATCGAGACTCGTTTTTAGGTAAATGGGCGAAATCAGGAGAACTATCGATAAAAGGAAGAAAGCGTTCAAGTGTTGATGTGTATCAACAAATTTTATGAATAAATAATAAGTTTAAGCTCTCCAACTCTTGCGGTCACAGAATGGGGAATGTTTAACTGAAAATCGAACCATCTGTTTTACAGAAAAAAGATGGATTTTATTTCTCAAAATAAGTGCATATTCTGGTTGGACATCAAAAATATCATCAGTAAAGTAAGTTTGATGCCAAATCTGCTTCCATAGTTGAATAAAAAGCGATCGAAGATTCAACTTTTACCTCAATTTTCTCGAAGAATATCGATCTGAGAAATTTTTTAATGGCACCAATCGACTCAGTTTCAATAGCGCACAAAGTCCCTACTCTTGCCTTTAGAAAAATGTCTCGTGTTTACTCTTTTCAAAGTACTTTACTTTATATCAACTGTTAAAGTTTTGTTAAGAGAAGTGTTTTAACCAGAAAACCAGAAATAATGCAATTGAAGTTAATACTTTTATTCAGTTTAAACCTAATTTTTACTATTTTACAAGTAATTCAACGATTGAATACAATAAGAAACTAACGTAATATTTTTGTCTTGATCGATAGACATTGCAAAAAGGGTTGTAATTGAACTCAACTTTTATCTTTTACATTAAATCGTAAACAATTATAATTTTTATAAAATTTTCTTTACATTTTGGTTAATATTTGAAATTAATAATAATCAATGAACTCAATAGCAATCAATATCTTGATATAGCTTTCCAAGGTGAATTTGTATTGAAGCAGCTGGGATTGGTCATGGTCTTCAAAGCCGACACAATTGCCTTAATTTGTCACACTAGCTATATGTTTACAAATTAACTTTAACTTAACTAATTTGTGATGGAGTTAAACTTTATTATACTTATGAGATGGATTCGATTGCAATTGAATAAACTGTCAAGTTGGCTTACAATTGAAATGCTATTAGTGAGACTCACAAAGCAACTAGAATTAAGCTTTTTTCACTCCATTTCAAAATATAAAATATTACAACAATTTATCAACAAGATCGACTATTATTCAGACCGCTATGGCTAAATGCATGTTAATTATCTCAATATTAGCAACCTTATCCTTTTCAGTTTACTGTGCATCAGATAATGATAAAATGCTCAAACAGCAGGTCCAAATATTGTGCAAAGACTTCATTAAGACTGCAAACTTTCAATATATCCGTGAAATCCTCAAAAACGATGATTGCTGGGTAAGTTTATAAACGTTTAATTGTGTGAAAATCGTATTTTTAACCCAATAATTTGTTTCGTATCTAATTTACAGCAAAAGATTTTACCTAGTGATATTTATGCTCGGTATGTCAAGTGTGGAGAGAAATTAGATTTCAAAACGATCGATCAGTTCACCCGGTTTTGTTCAAACATTGATGCAAGCATTGGACTCATAAAAGAGGTAATTATAAACCTAATGACCACTAAAAGCGAAAATTATCTCCTAACCGTTTCTTTAACCCAATTCAGTCTGGTATTTGTGCGAACGAATTGATAACTCAAGAGTTTAGCGAAAAATTTACTGTAAGTTTCAAATGTTATTCATTTTATTATTGTTCTTGATGACTTTACATTCATATTAATTTGTATCTTCTCCCTGTTTTTAAAGAAATGTTTGGAGCAAAGGAGAAACACGATGAAAAATAATGATATGTCCATCCAAATTAGTAAATGATATGTTGGATTCAAATCTTCAAATATCTTTGATCTTCGTCTTAACCTATCATTCAAGCTCTGTTAAGGATAAAGTTGATCTTTAACATTATCTTCCCTGTTATTTTCCAGTTTTCCTAAAATTCCTGTTATTCCGTTATTTCTATCATGCAAATTATGGATAAAATGAATTTTTAAATTGATAACTAAACTGTTCAATCTAAATGTTACAGCTAAATCGATCGCCTTTTAAGATATTGACTTATTATTATAATATATTTTGACTGTTCAAATAAATTGATAAAAATTACTGACTATCGATTTTAAGCGCCTCACATTCATTTTTAAATTAGATCATTCTTGTTGCATGATTTTCAAGAGATACAATGTTTCCAATTCTCATTTTTAATTGTAATTTATCATTTCATTCTCCCTGGTGATACAAAAAAAACAATTCTTTGTATTATTGATTTGTATTTTTATTACATGCCAAAGTGATTTGTTTTTTCAACAAAAGGTTTGGGTTCAAAACAGCAAAAGCAAATGAGCAAATAATAATAATAGCAAAATTTTCTCAGGGAAGGATATCTGTAATTACGGTTATTTAAGAGCGTACTAATACGCACATAGGTAACAATTAAGAAAAGCGATTCGTAATTAACTAAATTGTTAGTTGAGTGAATGATTGAAAATGGCGCTCATTTTCACTCAAGGTATCGAGTACTTTTGATAGGTAGGTGGGTATCGATACTTTTGCAAAATAAAAGTAAGCACAAATACATTTGTTTTGGAAGCACTTTTTTGACCATTTGACTCGCTTATTGTCCTTTTTTTGTCGATTTTTAGTATCTTAAATCATTACTAGTCTACTTTTCTTGTGATATTTTTTCATCAATTGTGACTGGTATTCAACAATTTGAAAGGAGATTTTTAAATTTATCATTGACCTTCTTAACAAGTAAGTTGCTTTTTTGCCAGATTGCTTATTTTCATGTGTATTCCCATTTCGTTTTAATTTGAATTTTGTTTGTATATTTTCTTTTTTTCTAGGTTCCATTGTACTTCAACATTTAAATTTTATTCCCATCTAGAGCACTTTCCAACCATTTTTTGTGTCTACCTTTGCTCTTGCTTGGTTATCGTTTATTCCATTTATTCCACTATTGTGATTTTAATTCTATATCTACCATAATGAGCAGAGTTGATAAAGTAGATGACTACACCTTTCACAATAATCCTCAACAAGGATCTTCTGGTTATTTATTGGACTCAGATGACTCCAGTTCCAATCCGGCCTGGGTAGAAAGGCGGCAACAATTAATGGATCGCCTCTCAAACGACCTTGCAATTGCTCCTGAAGATGCTGATGAATTTGATGCTCTTAACGATGAAACTTTCGGAGCTGCAACCTTCGACGAAGATTGGGAACAACAACATGAAAAAATGGCCTCATTGGTTTCTGGGCCTTCTCAATACCAATCGCCTGCTGGCTTATCAGGCATGCATAATCAACCACACACGACGACATCACCTTCCCCTCATCCTCCATCTTCATCTTCGTCTCAATTTTTAAATCAAAACAATCTTCCCTGTTTCGACTCGAGTAAAGTTCTGGACTGTCAAACCATTGAACAGGGAATGCACAATTTGTCTACATCATCCAGATCAATTCCTCCAGAAGCAAATAGTAGACAAAAAATGAGCCCAAACAGCTATTTTTTCGGCAAAACTTCATTGGAAAACCCTTTCAATAATGCACCAATTAGATCAACAGAATCAATTTGGAATACTGATCTTGCATCTACAAAATTTTCTCATAACGATAACACTAATATTCAAATGACATCACCTGTTTTGATGGCCAATGTTGTAAGTTCATCTATGTGTGCACCTGCTGAATCATCTTCAGTAAATCAACCGCGACAAATAATTGAAAATGATGACAATTCTCCTTCCAGGCCTGTTATAAAAAGACCAGTTAGAGCAGAAGATTTAGAAGCTATGCTGTTAAACTCTGACCACAATCGTAAAAATTCTACTTCGACAGAAAAATCTACACCAAAAGCTTCAGAAAGTAATTTGAAAAATGAAAACAATGATAGTGGTTGGAGCCCCTTCAGTATGGGTGGTTTCATACCTAATATTCAGCCTTCTACAAATGTAAATTCGAATGACCAAAACAGTCAGCCTCAAGCTTCGATCGGTTATGGAAAACCAAGCTCGATAAATTCCCATCCATCAGCTGATGTTGACCCAAAAAAATCAGTTTCTAATGGAAAGCCATTCAAACCAATGACCTTAGATGAATTAGAAAGACATCTGTTGCATGATAATCCTAATAATACCCAAATTGAGACAAAACCTGTTCAAAATGCTGGCAATAATTTGAATAAATTTTTTCCTGGTGTAGATTTAACAAATAGTAACCAAGAAAGGAGAGTTTTGCCCGAACCAGTCCAGCCACTCGTTAGTTCAACTAATGTATCTCCATCAAATGAAACGATCAACCCTAAACCATTGTTCAGTAGTCTATTTATGCCAGGAAATAGACCACTTATTCAACAGTTTGTACCTGCGGTCATACCTCGAGCCCCATTTTTGCCATTCTTACCTGGACCTATTCCCAATCCATCGTTCATTCAACATCATCAAATGCAACACTTACAGCAGCTTCATCAACGATTCGCTCATCAACGCCGACAGTTTTATCCTCGACCAGGTACACGTTACCCGCATCACGATAGAAGTTCCAACGACGATGAGTACGCTGGCTTAATGACTCAAAGCAATAAAGAATGGCTGATAAAAATTCAAAATAGTGCATTGAATTTCACAAACCCTTATAAAGAAGATTTTTATTTCGTATCTTTTAAAACAAAACAATTGGCAACTGCTGCTAAAGCTAAAAAAGGAGACAACGGATCAAAAGTTCCTGCTTTAATTATTCCGGAAAGAAAAAATGACGATAGTACAAAAGTCGAATATGTGCCGGTACAGTTTGAAGGATCTCTGGGAAAGATTCAAGTCTCCAATGTGAAATGTCCTCGAAAATTGTTAGATGTTGATCCAAAGCACCCAACCAAAATTGTTGATCCAAGCCAAGACAGACCAATGACACCAATCGGACGAGCAGAATTGAATGCGTTCCGTCGCCTATTATTGGATATTGAACAGCTCTATGCACTTATGCTGGAAATAGATGAAGAGGATAAAAAGATGGGTGCCCTTCCAGAATTTCAACGAGTGCCTCATGCTAACAGGCGATCCGATCTTTGCAACCAACTTTTCAGGGGCGTTTATGATGAACAAAGTGAAAACATTAATCAGAAGATAGCCAGTGTAAGGAAAGGCATCGCTTTAATTGTAAGATCACTTCAAGTTCTTTCCGATCCAAAACAAAAAGCTGCTATCGTTAAAAGCCTTTTAGATAGCAATAACAGTCACTATGTGACTAATTATCGAGATAAAGGCCTCCATCATCTAGATTTCAAAGAAATTCTTACGGATGTCATTGCCTCACTGAAAGAGTCTCAACTTCCAGAGATAGACTTACTTTCTCGCAAACTGAACAGTACATCGTTTCTAAATTAATTGGTTTCATAGCTTTCAATCAACCTGTTGCGCGAAAGTTATCTCTACCGGCCATTTTTTGTAAATGTTCTTGTTAACATTTTACGATGTTACAATTAAAGACCAAGCAGAACATTGATTTGATTTTCTTTTTCGTCAATTTGTAAACAATATTTCACATTCATTCCAATTTACTTTATTAACATCAGATGAGTAAATTGAAAATGAAATACATGAAATAGTTCAAGTATTATTCAAGTACCATATTATATTAGTATTCAAGTAAAAAAATATCGCGATCAAGTCAAATTAAAACATTTCTGCTTGAAACTATAAAATGATTGAGTTCTTTGGAAACTTACAAAACAACTTTTATAATTAGAATTGATCATTGATATTAACCTTTTGCTATTTTGACTTTTGCTGTTTTGAACCCAAACCTGATAGATCATTGAGATTAGTCAACTGGTTTATTTAACAATTATGAAGGAAGTTTCTTGGTGTTAGGCCAAAATTATCTGATAATAGTGACATAACTTTATCATCAATTAAGTATAGGATTGAACAATCCTTTCGAATTTCCTTCTTCTCTAGTTATTTATCTTAACTGAAATTACACTGTAAAAGTGTTAACTTTATTGGTTATAACCAGGTTACTGCATGTATTGCTGTGACAAGTTGATGATAAATGTGGATTGATATAAATTATGTTTAATCTGATAATAAGTGCCAAATATATAATATTAGTATAATTAAACAACGATTGCGAGGTGATATGATGGTTAAATGATCGGGCTTCGCCCTCGTGTATTCACTATCATATCACCAAGCAAGAGTTGTTTAAAAAACTTACATAATGTGAGTAAAAGCTCAAAACACAATTGGTCAATTAAGGGTTAAAAAATTAGATCTCTTCTTCATTGATAAGATTTAACCAAAAATTGAATTTAATTATTTCACTTATCTTACTATGGGGCTGTTAACCAACCCATGCAAATAATTATTGCTAGTAACCAGAAATATCATTCGCAATAACTAGCGGTTAATGTGCTTTGTGGAAAAGTAGAATAAAATAAATCGAGGAAAGTCCTCTTAATAAACATTCTAGATCATTCATATTCATATCTAGATTTATCTGGTAAGTTACTGAGGTCTATCAAAATGAGTACGTGGGATCCATTATTATTACAGTTCTGAGGACTTTAGAGGCTGTAAGTTCATCGAATGCTTCCTTGATTTCATCCAATGTCCTTTGCGAGGTGATAAATTGATCTAGGTCAATCTTATTTTCTTCTGCTAGACCCACAAGTCCATCGATATCTTCATGTTTGAAACCACCATAAAGTCCACCAGTAACGGTGACACCGGTAAGGAATGTAGTTATAGGGATTGCAAGTTCAGCGCCAGGAACAGGTAAACCAACCAATGCAGCTCTTGATGTACATTTCAACGCGAGTGAATCCACAGCGTCTTTCATTGCCACTGTAGCTCCAACACAACAAACTGTATGATCAACGCCGAGACCATTGGTCAATTCTTTGATTGCTTGAACAGTTGTCTTGCCAGCTTCAAGTTCTTTTGGGTTAACAAAGTGAGTAAATCCAAATTTTTGAGCAACTTTGAATTTATCTGAATTCAAGTCAACGCCAATGATCATTGAAGCTTCACGGTGAGATGCACCGAGACCAGCTGCTAGTCCTAGAGTACCTAAACCCCAAATTGCCACATTCGTTCCTTTAGTAATGCCCGAAATATTTACAGCTGAACCATAACCAGTTGGTACACCACAAGCAAGTGGACATAATCTTCTCAAGTCAACATCTCTTTCTATCTTGACCACACGATCTTGTTCAACAAGAGTATATTCTGGTGAAAAGGAAAACAAAAAATCGATTGAAATAGAAATAAAATTATCAAAATTATACCAATGAAACTTGTACAAAGACTAAATAAACAAAGTTACCTGAAAATGTACTAGCACCAATAAAACGGTAAAGAGGTTGTCCATTCACTGAAAAAGGTGGCTCATCTCTTCCAGCCGTTATTTGAGCATTCATCAAACTTGGCATACAGTAGTTGGCCAGTCCTCTGATACAATCAGGGCATTCACCACAACGTCCGAAAAACATGACAAACACTTTATCTCCAGCTTGAACTTTGGTGACATCTTCTCCAATTGATTCTACGATTCCAGTACCTTCATGCCCTGGTATATAAGGAAACAAACTGTCGCCCATAGCATTACCCGATTCAGCATAATCGATCAAATCGGAATGACAAACACCACTGGCAACAATTTTAACCCGAACCTCTTTTCCAGTTGGAGGTTTAACGGTAACCTGTTCAATGGTTAAAGGTCCCTTGGATTTCCATAGGACAGCAGCTCGACACTCGATTGGTTCACCTATGCCCATAATGAGGTTAAGTTGGAATTCACAAGAAACTGAAAGTCAAATTTAACTTCTGCTCAAGATTTAGACTGATCCTCGAATGAGAAATTACTTTTGATGATAAAGTGAAGTTAAAGATGTTGGCCTGGAATAAAAATGATGATCTTTCCCTGTTTGTTGATGTTTTTAAAGTAATCTTGTTCACTGAAGGGGCGAGGCCAAGTTGAAAAGTTTGACAAATAACGAATAATAAAAACTACGATTAGGGTTGTGCGCAAAATGATATAATGCTCAGAATAATGTTTCTGATTAAGATTTCATTGTAGATAATAAACAAAACTGACAAACCGCATATTTTTCCTTTGAAATCTCAAGCTGACCATACTTTGTAATTTACTTCTCCAATCAGCCAATTATTCAACAGCTTTCATATTTCATCTTACGTATGTTGAGTCAAACCCAGCCATCGGAGTGAGATAATTAACAGTATTAAATTCAGATAAAATTTTTGATAGAGGCTCTCCTAACTTGTTTATATCGTTCGTTTGGCTTTAACACGTAATACGACATTGTGATGTAAACCAGAAGATCCAAGGTTAAGTAAGACCTTAAAGTGTACTTTACAGGAACGTAGACTCCTTTAACTGGGCCAACTGCGGGGGACAACAGCAAATTTTTAATGAATGGCCAATTAAGCTATCCAAGTTTAATTGTCATCTAGAATGGAATGAAATAGACTTAAATTAGGCAATCTGGGACATTCAAAGCTATTATTAAATGACACCAGGCTCATCAATAACCTATCCTTAAAGATGTTGAAAACTCTATCTTGGTAAGCCTGATTTGAATCAACTGACTTCGGTTTTTGGCAGTTCCAGAAACAAATGTTTAAGCAAGGTCAAATTTACAATTTAAAGATTCATCTATGAATAGGTGATTCGGAGAGAAATCAAGTTTAATTAACCCCAATTTTGATACCTGAAGTGAATGTCTGAAGTTGAATATCTTAAAGGGTTTGATAAAAACTCAAGGTTCTTTGCCACAATTTCTAGTAGAAAACACTTTCTTTTCTTTCCAAATCACCATAATTTACCTACAATTATAGCTGATACAACACGAAGATGAATTTTAAATTAGTAAACACATGATCTAAACGAAGAATAATTTGATCATGTAATGTTTATGAAAAAAATTTCTTATTCTCTTACTTCAGGCTGACCATATCACAACGGTTTAGACTCCAAGTTAAAATACCTGTAAACCTGAAATGCAATGAAAAAACTTATTTAAAATGGATTAACAAAAAATATTCAGATCACTTTGTAAATTACCTTTATCGGATCACTGGACAATACAAATCGCGTTTCCAGTAATCTCTGTTTCCAAGAATTGTCTCTCGATTCAACAGGCATTGAACCGTATTATAGAGCATCAAATTTTACACTTAACGTCTCCTCTTTGAAACCATTTAAGAAATCATCCTAAAAATCAACATAGTTAAACCCAGCAATCAATCAAGCTAATGAGTTAAACTTAAATCTGCAAACGTCTGATTAATTTTAGGTAACCAAACGATTATCACAATCAGATGAGTGTGTTGTGTATAGCAAGAGATGGCGGCACTAGAGAAATAATAAAAATTGAAAATCATTTGTTTATTTTCACAATGAAATTAAGTAAACAATTATTGAATTTTTCAGATAGTGTTACCCATTCAGGAAATCACTTATTGAAAATGGTTTTCTTTATTACCTGAAATGTTATCACCACCTTCAGTCACATCATTAACGATCAATTTCATGTAGTGCTTTTCAATGGTTTAACTTTAACCAAGGTTGGTTGGTCTTTCAAACTTTAAATAACTATTTTGTGCTCAACAATTTTATTCTCTTTTTTATACAACTTAAAGTATGACCACGCAAACCATTATCTTGTGGGCATCTAAAAGTGAAATTGAAAACACGTAAAACCTTGATTCAGTCAGAGATGTGAATAGAATGAAAACTTTCACCGTCTTGATCACTAAAATAATAATAACTGGAAAATTACAGAAAGAGGTGAGTTCAAAATGGTAAATGCCATCTTCTGATTGTTGCTGTCAAAAATTTCTGTTTCGTGAACCGAGGTTTGTAAGTCAACCTTGTTAATTAATCTGTTCTAGCTTTTCGTCAATTTTAAATAAATTTGCGTTTTTTTTTCTTGTTTTTCAGACCTGCATTATCAATACACACCCTTGAAACATCGGATTAATCAGAATTGACCTACTAACCTGATATGCAACAGAGAAAACATCATCATATTTACCTTACAATTATCTTTTAGGTAAGCTGCTAAGATTTTATATCAAGGTACCGTTCAACAAGGATTGACTTAAATAACAAACCATATTCAAACCATATTTTTACTTGTCTTATTACTCTCACTTTTCAAGCGTCATCTTTTCCACCATCTCATTTAACATCTTGGTTTTTTTTCTCTCTTTTTTACATTTTAGTGAGTTTCATCAACATTTGTGGTTTTAAATTTCATCTTCTCTGGTTTTAATGTAACTGGCAACTGTAACCAACATCAACCAATCATTGTGTGATTTTGTTTGTTTACTATTTGGAAGACTGTTAGTAAAGCAATCAAATATTAACTATTTCACCTTTTGTTTTACCCATTACTCATATCAAACACACATCAAGTCTAAAAATTTTCAACATCATCGCCATTTCACTTTTATTCCTACCCTTCACTGGATACCCGATTAATGGTTTAAATTTACTACTCTCTTCAATTGTAAACCTAAAGATTCGGAGGTGAACAATTTATCATACCTTTACAACCGATTGGAGCTAAAAGTCACCTCGAGTTTACCAGTGAGCAAAATGTAATATCAACCCATTTTAGGATAAAGAAAATTTCTTCATCAATAGTACCATCTTCGTTTACCTGTCTTCATTTTACCATCTTATCATCAAATAATACAAGCCACTCCTTGGAAAGTTATCTACGATAATTACAAGTCAATGGTGTACAATCAAACTTGTCTGTAATCTGAGTACTTTTTGTTTTTTTTAATTCAACAACTGTTTCAACCAAAAATTATCTTTCAAATATTGTTTTCTAATAACCACTTTTGCCAAAAAAATGTCAGGTAATGTAAATGTTTATTATCTATTCCTTACTCAAAACTAACACTCAATTTCTGATGATCACCTAGTCATGCCAATCTTTGTGAGGTGATTCTCATAGAGTCTATTATAATATCATAATATTATAATTTAGTTTTCATAAAATTCCAGATCAAAGTAAATAGTTTAATGCACCCAATTTTTTACCCGATAATTTATTGAAAACAGAAAGCAATCCTTTCAAGCAAAACAATAGATTAACCCAACTTCTTGAATAATTTAGTTACTTTTCAGTAACTCGAGTTGAAATCAGCTATGATATTTCAACTAATCAAATATCATTCGTCCTTTCTTTAATTGCTTTATTAATCCTGACGACTTTATTTTATTTCTTTATCATGAAAGCTATTCTAATCACATCTCTACATCATAAATTCAACAGTTTGCTAACCGATATTATTTTTCTCTCTCTTTTAGCCAAAAAGATTGTTGTGGCCAATCAAACCTCAACCGATGTTCAAATCAGAATTACAAATCCATTTCGAGCTTTTGGAATTGAAACAGTAAAAATGGGAAAAGAAATGAATTTCAATTTCACACCATTCCATAGTTGTGTTTGGGAGGAATACTTTTGGCTCAAAGTATGGTACAACGGAAAATATTTAAAAATTCCTGCTTACGGCAAAGGTCGTGGTTACGATGACTTTATATACAAAATACGACGAGAAGGCATCTGGGGTAAACCAATTGGATCAACAGAAACGAGTCGTCTATTGGTGAAATGGCAGTGAAAGGATAAATGTTCAAATTTCAAGTGCCTTTAACATCGATCATTTGTTTTCATTTTAAATCTATCAAAGTCAAAAAATGGCTTCATCTTGGATTGGACCTTGTTGTATCTAACATTGACTATCAGCATATTAAATTTAGACCATTGTTATAAAATGAATAAATCATCAACAATAATATGCTCATGGTGAAAACAAAAAGTCATTTGAAACAGCAAAATAACTTCATCAGAATGATCGCTGCTCATCATGGTTCTTCAAAAATGTCCTTGAGTATTTTTTTAATGATTCAAAATTGTATTTCTCTTCATCTTTTTGTCTCCAATTTCATCAAAGATAAACCAAAACATTAAATTAGACTTTGTTAGGCAAGGCTAATTTCATCTTGATCAATTTAACAATATATTGTTCCATCGATTAAACAACCAAATAAACAGCTCTTCATTTGGTCTAGTTCAAGTCATATTTAAATTGTAATCAAAACTGACTTTAAATCCAAGCAACTTTAGGAAATGAAATTGTTTCTCTTGCGTTAAATGGTGATTAAACAGCTGTAGCAATGAAATGTTTGTCATTATATGAACTTGTAAATGTAAGCAATGATTGGGGAAAAAATCTCACAGTTTAAAGCCAATTATCAACACAAAAATCAGAAACAGTATTCAAAGCCAACAAGCTTGTAAGTTTGTTGTAACCAATTGATTATAATTACTTTTAACGACTGTTAAAGTTGATCAATGATTAACTCTTGTAGTAATTTTAAAGTTGATTTGTTTTCTTGTTGCCATTGAAGTCAGCCTTCTCTTCTAGTCTAGTCTTTAACAATTAACTTTCCCTTTGAATTGAAACTAAACAGGTATACAATTATGATTTATTGGACTGACTGTATTTTGCTAGTTGTTACAATTATGGTGGAGAGATGGTAAAATAAGATTGAACGTTTCTTCTCAATCACTACTCAAAACACGTTTCCGGTGAGAACCTTGATAAAAGCAAGTTCAATGACAGTTTAATCTACTGTTTACTTCAATTCTGGTTACGCTACTTGTTATTAAAGGGTGTTATTGCATTCAATTTCATTCAAATCATATGTTTATTGTGGATGAAATTTCTTTGAAAATAATAGTCTAATTGCCCAACAAATAAGACATTAACTTTTCATTCAATGGTGTAAAATATGAATATTATCTGTTTTGTTGTTATCTCGATAATTTAGTGTTTAGCTCTCTTCTACTCTTCAGACAGACATCCTTTAGAAGAGGAAATTTGTTCAAGATAATCAGGGGACATTTGCAAAACAAAAGTTATCACATTTTGTAGCATAAAACCTTTAGAATAAGAAAAACGATTCTCTAAAAACAATTAAAGATAAGTTATTGCTAATAACAGTAACATAGTTGTTCAGACTCTCAACAAATTATGGGCTCTGAGTGTGTAGAAGCATAGATTGGTAGTGATGTGATGGGAAGAAATTGAAGAAGAAATGAATATAATGAACTTCAGAGATTCATTGATAGCAGAAAAAAAACAGCAAACCAACGAAATCCAAATTTACGGGTTGTAATACAGATTGTAAACAATATTTTACACCTACAACCAGAACTGCTTCCTACTTAGAATTGAAAGTAATCTCTTTCTTTCTTGTAATAACCCACATCAGCTTTGGGAATAAAAATGCAACTAACATCATGATCAAACACCACGTAATATGTAAAGGTAGGGAGAGTCCTTATTATGCTTTTAAGCATACATCTATTCTGGAAACAGCTTATTCCTGGTCAATTTGGATGAATGATGGCGAAGATGGTGAGGATGATGATGCAAGAAAATAAGCAAGAAAATAAGAATTATCATGAGAGAAAGAAGTTGAGGGAAAGAGACAGAGAAAGAGATGATGATGATGTATAAATACGAAAGCAAAAACCAGAAGACAGCGAGCAGCATCCAACGTCAACAGAGAAGATTGAAACAAGTTTAGATGTTGGTCTATGAAGACAATCAGGAAATTGAGTTTAGCCAATTGGGAAGCTCCACGGCTTCTCTGTTTGTTCTTGTTCTTCTCCTCCTTTTCATCCTCGTCATCAGTGGCTGAAGCCTCAACAGCTTTTCTCCTTCCTTCATGGTGGCTAACTCTCAATGGATCCAAAATTTTTGACAGGATCAGGAATAGAATCAGATACTCAATAAAAAAAAGGAATCACATTTGTATTCTATTGCATCTATTTTATTTGCGCAAATGGTAAATTGGTTGCAGAAGAGTCTACGCAAAACTAATTACAGGCATAATTTATTACATTGATGACAATAAACTTGTCACTAACCAATCAATTGTCTTCTCTTTACAATCCATATCTAAAGGTGTAGTCGATAGTCAATACTTGATCCTACTCGGATCCAAACTTTATGGTGACGTTGCTTTGCTTTCTTCTCTTCACTTTTTTTACATTTGGTTGAGGATTTAGTGTTGAAAATCTAACCGGCGTACGCCGTTAACCCTCTTTTGATTTAATTTTTTACTTTAAACTTCGTTTCATGTGATTTATTAGTGTTCACTGGTTATTTCTCATTGTTCTTCATTTATTGTCATTAGTATTTGATATTAATTTAAACCCAAATTTGATTCCTTTCTCTTTAACTTTTCTTGTTGTTACACATCAACATGATTTTTCACTATTCACTTTCTATTGCCCTTTTAGTCACACTGGTCTCTTCAGCTGACGTTAAAAAGGAAGAAAATGTTTTAGTTTTAAATAAAAGTAATTTCGACGGTGTTGTCTCTGAGAATAAATATGTCCTGGTTGAATTCTGTAAGTACCTTATGCCATCTTTATTTGTTTTCTTTGCTATTTTTCCAATGGCAAGTGGCTTTTGTTGTTTTTGTCAAGATTTTGATAAAGCTGTCTACAATGGCCATCGTGTCATGGCGTGTCATTTGCTGGCAATTTTTTGCTGGCAATCCATGAATCGCTATTTTAAATTACTTTTTCTTTGAATATTTATCATTGCTCTTATTTATTAGATGCACCATGGTGTGGTCATTGTAAAGCTTTAGCTCCTGAATATGCAAAGGCAGCTACTAGTCTTGCCAATGAAGGATCAGAAATTCTTTTAGCTAAGGTTGATGCCACAGAGGAAACTGATTTAGCTGAAAAGTATGAAGTTAGAGGATATCCAACTCTTAAATTCTTCCGAAATGGTAAACCTACTGAATATAATGGTGGTCGTACTGCTGACGATTTACTCAAATGGGTTAAGAAAAAGACTGGTCCCCCAGCCGTTACTCTTGAATCTGTTGAAGATGCAAACAAACTCAAGGAATCTGCTGAAGTTGCTATCATTGGTTTCTTCAAAGATCAAGAAAGTGATGCCGCCAAAGCTTTCTTAGAGGTTGCTACTCAAATGGATGATCATCCATTCGGTATCACCAATTCTGAGGCTGTTTTTGGTGAATTCAGTGTTTCCAAAGATGGTGTTGTTTTGTTCAAAAAGTTTGACGAGAAAAGAAATGATCTGTTTGAAGATATCACCCAAGAAAACCTTAAAAAATTCATCTCCATTAACAGTCTTCCTCTTGTTGTTGACTTTAGTCATGAGGTGAGCTTACCCTTCTGCTTTTTTGCCTCAATGAACTTGCTTTCTTCATCCTCATTCAACTTGAACAGATCACAGTTCACAATTTTTTCATTACTTACCATTTCTTTCCTTTATCTCCTTACAGACTGCTCAAAAGATTTTCGGAGGAGAAATTAAGTTCCATAACTTGTTATTCCTCAGCAAGAAAGCAAGTAGTTATGAGAAACTTGTCGAAGCTTTCAGAAAGGTTGCCAAAGAATTCCGGAATAAGGTTCTTTTTGTCACTATCAACACTGACATTGAAGATCATGAAAGAATCATGGACTTCTTCGGTCTTAAAATTGAAGATGCACCTGGCATGAGATTGATCCGCCTTGAAGAAGATATGATCAAATACAAGCCTGAAACCTCTGACATCACTGAAGAAAGCATTTTGTCATTCGTTCAAGGTGTTATTGACGGTAAAATTAAGGTAAAGGAAAATTCTTTCTCCCAAAGCCTAGATCTTGTTAACTTAACTGTTTTCTTTACTTTTTTACAGAAACATCTCTTGACACAAGATGTTCCAAGCGATTGGGACAAGAATCCAGTCAAAGTGCTAGTTGGTAAAAACTTTGATGAAGTCGCTCTTGATAAGAGTAAAGATGTTTTAGTTGAATTCTGTAAGTAGTCGCCTTTCTTTTTGCATCCAGACGCTCATTATGCTAGATTCAGCCATATTTAATTATATGATAATACTGAGGGCAGTTGAGTAGTTTCCCCTACTGAAGCATTATTTTTTTGTCACACTTGAACAAACATTTTGCACATATTCAATTTCCATGTTCAATTTCTTCCTGCTTTTAATTTATTGACAATTATATTTTATTTGTTTTATTCCATTAGATGCTCCATGGTGTGGACACTGTAAACAATTGGTGCCTATTTATGATGCCCTTGGGGAAAAGTACAAGGACAATTCTAATGTTGTCATCGCCAAAATGGATGCTACTGCCAATGAATTAGAGCACACTAAAATCAACAGTTTCCCAACAATTAAACTTTTCAAAAAAGATACAAATGAGGTAAGATACAGGGTTTGATCAAAAGACATTCAAATACTAACACCATAGTTTATCAACAATCTAACAAACAATCCTTAGTCATGATTTTCATAACGGTGATGGCAAATTGAGGGTAAAATTGATAGTTTACTAAAAAAGAATAGACATCTTCATCCTATTTTATCACCTTTTGTCTTCATTTGTTCATAATTTATGAATTGATAATCTTTTTAAATGCCATCAAACTAACATGATTGAGTTAAATATGATAATTAGGTTGTTGAATATAATGGTGAACGCACATTGGATGGTCTTAGCAAATTCATCGATACAAATGGCGAATACGGTCGTGCAGCTCCTCAAGAGGTACCATTTTTACTAATTTTTTCAATCCTTCTTTCCATTTTTCTTGCTATGGTGCTCTTTCCCACGCTCCCTTTGCCCTTCAACCCGATGACCCCTTTATACCCCAAGGTGTTGGATTTCAATGGGGAAAGAACCTTAGAGGGATTATCCCAATTCATTGATAGCGGTGGAAAACTCGGTGCTAGTCCTAAAAAAGAGGTTTGATCTAATAACTAATATTTTAACATTTCTTTTCCTACTGTTTACTAATTTTCATCTTATTTCTGGATTATTTCATAAGAGTGCAGATATCTTCATTCATATTAATATTTTAACCATCTAATCTTTTCCAATTAGATTTTAATCCCGAATGAGACAATCTAAAAGTATTAACACTTTTTGGGTTTCTCTATTTCTTATGTGAAATATTTTGCACTCTTAATTGCAATGCTGCTTTAATTACCTGCTCATGCTTAATTCATTTCATCTTTTCCCTTTACATTTTATTTTATGTTTCAAGCAACTACTTACGAAAAAATTGAACTATCTTCTAATCACTTTCTATTTCAAACTTTTTTCCAATAGGAGGTCGATGAAGAAGAGGAGAAAGAAGGAAAAGCTGACCCCAGAAAGGATGAATTATAGTCACCTGGTCATTTGTTTTTTTCTAATTTTATCAAGAACACACGGGAACAACTAATTTTATGAAATTAAAATGTACTCATTTCTCCGTTTTATTTAATGAATTTACTCTTTTTCTTTTGTAAGAACTGTTTCCAGTTCATTAATCAACTCAAGCAAAAAAGTGCATTATCATGGTCAACTAATCACCTATGCGGTTATTGTCAGAATTTCATAACGTCTTTCAACAAATAGCAAATCATGAATGTATTACATGAAGAGGTTTTCCTTTCGGCGCCTTTTACTAAATTTAAGAGTAACCTTACTGAAAAAGTTAAGCAATCAGGCTAAAGTACAATTAAAATTTTACTATTTTTGTAAAGAGTAATTAAATCTATCGAGTTGTCTTGTAACTTTAACTAGCCAAATCGCAAGTTTTACTTTCACGATTTTATCAAAAAAAAGATAGGAATTATTCGTAAGTATTATTTTAATCGATTTATTATGAATAAATTGAAGATGTGTCGATACAAACATGATGTGAACGCAATTAAGGAATAATTAATTTGTACGGAACTGAAATTAATACAAGCAAAAAAGAGTTGAATGAGGGAAAATTAAAGTTATGCTCGTTTAATTTTACTACAATCCATGGCATAGTTTGTTTCATGTGAGACGATGTTATCGAGAAGATGAGCGAGATGAAGATCCACGGCGTTTACGAGGTGGTGTCCTTGATCTTGTGCGACTACGACGATATCTAGGAGGAGATCTGGAATATCTGGAAAGATGAAAGAAAAGGAAATGAAGTCAATGCAAATTATGTCTATTCGATATTTATCAAGATGAAACTTACCTTCTATTCCGTCGGGGCATTGATCGACGACCCCAGTTAGGGCCGCCTCCACCACCTCCACCTCTCCTTATCATGGGTCCACCATAATTGCGCGGTTTTTGAGCGTAAACAAGACTGACAGTTATTTCTTGGCCATCGATTTGTCCGCCATCCATGTATTTGATTGATTTTTCAGCGTCTTCAGCTTTTTCAAAATCAACATAAGCAAATCCTCTAGAGAGGTGGGGATGAATCCGATCTGGAGGTAAATCAGCACTTCTTATTGGTCCATACATACTGAAAATTTCTAAGATATGGTCTTTGGTTACATTTTTTGTTAACCGTCCAACATGAATTTTGGATCCCTTAGGTGGTGAGGGCGGGCTTTTACGATGGCGAGCAGGTGATTTACGTTTGTCACCTCCAGAAGCTGCTGATCGCGATGATGAACTAGACGATGAAGCAGATCGTGACCGTGACCGAGATCGTGATCGTGATCGAGACCGTGATCGAGATCGAGAACGAGAAGCTGATCGGCTGCGAGAGTCTGATGATGAGCTTGATCCACTTGATCCACTTGAAGATGAACTTTGACTTGAAGATCGGGAACTAGGTATAAAAAAATTATTAATAAACTGTTGAATTAACAAAGACGAAAGAAAAGATGACATATTGAAATGTAATTTAATCTACAAACCTTCCACTTCCACTGGACTCAGAATCACTGGATTCACTCTTTTTACGTTTTCGATCTTCCCTTGTTCGACTTCGAGATCGAGCCGGTGCCCTGCAATGAAAATTAAGCGATTTAATAGACAAGACTCAACCAAAAAGAAAATAATACTTACATGATAAATAAATAGATGATTAGTTGATGGAAAGTAAAAATGTGGGCTCAATTTTCTCACTAGACTTCAATATCCAAACCGGTTAACTTAACATACAAAGGGACTTTCAAAAAATTACGAACAGAGTTCCTCAAACAAATTTTTCATGTTGACAAAACGGCTCCAATGAGGGCGCTAGTAAGCTAAATTAGCTTTGTGTGCATCAAAGAGTAAAGTTACCTTACTCCAAAGAGTAAACTCTTTGCCTTACTCTTTGGTATAAATTGATTGGATTTATAATAAGGATTGGTCTTTGAAAATTGGACAAATTTTGACTGTTTATTAAATATTTGTCATTGGAATTGAAATGATGCATTCATTAAGAATAGATAATGACTCTTGGTAATAGCTGTATCAGTTTTGACCGAAGAAAATTTTCAGTTCATCTATCACTAGATATTCAAAACTTATTACAACTGTAAGCTAACATTTTAAGCCATTTCAGAGACTTTTCGACCTGATCTTGGTTCAATCAAACCTGTAATACCGATATTAGTTTTTTCATCATGCTGTTAAAACAGTACAATTCAGAAATTCTGAGTTTTTAAAGTAATTTTAAACACCACTTGACTCCAGTGTTTCACCAATAACCTTTTTTGAATAAATATTATCAATATTTTTGCCGCAATATTTCCAACAATAGCATTGGCATTTAAAACTCTGTTTAGCTTACATTTTGGTCAATCTTCAAAAGCCTAAATATACTGTAATTTTGTCGTTTCTAGAGTCGTTGCCTGAATCTTTCATTTAAATATCTTCAAAACTGTGCCAAAACTAACTTCTCATAGCAATACAGTGAAACAAAAATTATTTGATCTCTAATTGTTTTCACTCAAATATTTTTCAATAAAATATTAATAATATCGATATTTGCTCTTGCAATAATTTTTCAATCAATATCTTTTCTGAAACACTAACAATTAAATTTTGAAGTTTTAACAATTAGTGCAGTCTTTTTATTTCCCTATAGCCCTTTCTACCCTTTTTCCTTTAGGGGTCATTAGAGTTTTGCCTCAATGAAATCCGAATTGAATTGCATGTAACTTAAATTTAGTCAAAAATAACTCTGGTTTTATCTCCTGTTCAACCTAAGACATAACCTAACCAAGACCTGGACATCAACTAGACAATCTCATAAAAATACAGAATCACATGGACTCGAATGCAGCTAAATTTTTGATTGAATTAAATTTTTCACTAGCCTGGTGTAATAGCAAACTCATAAAAGACATCTCTTCAATTTATTTTATATAATATTATTTACTTCCTATTAGTTTAATTTTCATCTTTCATTTTAATTCAATTTAAGTTTCAATAATTTTTGTAATATTATTTCATTTTTGTATACAGTCGTGGAACCCGTATCAGGCAGTTCACTGCGAGTGCAGCTGGTCAGGTTCACTCTGCAAATGATCAAGTGGATCAGTTTGTGATTATCGGTGTCCTTATTCCTGAACAAGGTGAAATGAAATGAAATAGACTCAAGTGAACACTGTATTTGAAAAGTGCATGAAATTTGCGTTGATTTTAGCCTTAGAATCCTTTATTCGAAGACAAAACATAATGATTGTAATTTGTTTCAAAATTTACGAAAATTGGGTTATATTTCCATGAAATATTGGAAAGTTTTCTCCTTAAATTGATTTTAGATAAATATCTAAATCAATTCAACAAAATATCTTATTCTTGAACATTTGCAAAGTTTTATGAAACTATTAGAGTCCGAATAAGTAATAGAGCTCATTGTTTCCATGTTTAACTTGAAATTTATTTTATAAATAATACATTTATAGCTTAAGAAACTTGGAAGTTTCAAAAGTCTGATTATTCAATTAATTTTTAGTTTCAGATTGTAAAGTTGGTCAAATTTGACAATCAATTGTAATAATCGTGGTAAAAACGATAAAATTAATAAGAGTGAAGCAAACGTAGATAACAATAACAATTATTATGGATTGGAGACGAGTTTGATTCGAGAATTGTAATGGAAAGGTTTGTTTTGATGAAGAGGGTGAAGATGAGGATGATTCTGATGATTAAATTGAATTAAAGGAATGGATAATGAAGATGATGATCAAAATGATGTATTGGCGACTGTAAGTTTGAGTTGATTTGTCAACTTGTGAGGCTTGACGATAGTTGTATCATGAGTATGGTCTTTTCAAGATTTTTGCTCATTTTCTTCAGTTGATTTAACAGTTGTCGGTTCTGAATTGTCATCGACTGTTGTTTTATCGATTGTTCCCTTCAAGGCTACTGTAGATGGTGATGTTTCCGATGGTGATGAAGACAGAGGATCACTTGATTCACCATCTTTAGAGTAATGGATATCAGCATCTTTAAATAATTCCTTAAATTCTTTGTCCGATAATTTAATGTAACCTGGTGGTGGAACGTGATCAGCTGAACCATGATAGGCATGATACTGTTGGGTTGATTCACTTGTTTCCAACTTGTCTGAAGTATTATTTGATTGATCACCAAAAATCACTTTCCCATTGATGGGTTCATTGCGGCTATCAAGCTTAACAAATGTATAAGTTTCACTGGAAAGTAAAAGTAAAAGGTTTAAAATTAGTTTCTCCAATTATAAATCATACTGTATTGTCTTGTTAATCACAAAAGGAGTAATTGAACGTTTCTTAAATAGATTGTGGAAGATTTAATAAAAATTTTAATCAAATAGAAATTAAAAAAATATTTTCCCTAAACTCATTTTATTTTGCAAAAATGAAAGAAGCATATGATAAAACATATGCTGATACTTACTCATCGGTCGTTTCTTCATTGTTTTCCATTGAACTGTTGCTCTTTACACGAACCTCTTGACTGTTGCTGCTATCTGGATAAATTCCTTGTGATGAGTGTGAATTTGATTGGTAATTTTGATCATCATAGTGTTCAGCTTTGGCATAGACCACTTCTTGGCCTCTGATTCTGTCTCCAAATCGAGGTTCATTAGGATTTACTGCTGCTTCAGTGAATGTTTCCTTAGGATTACCAGAAGAACCGTAATCTTGACCAGAAGATTCTCCATTGTTGTTATAATTTTTATCCCCGTTTTGGCCTTCATATGATGGTGATGATACATATGCTGGTCCTTGATCATTTGGCCCATAACCTTGTTGATGATTATCTCCATAATTGGCTTGAGGTCCATCCTTAATGGGTTCAGCGTCCTTCAAGACATTACCTAAGGAAGGTATTTGGTTTGATATTAAGTTTATCAACATTTTGGTGTCTAATTCACTTGGAGTTGTGTAAGGTTTAGGTGAAAAATCTGGCGACGCTCCGTTAAGAAGCTCAATTTTAGGAGGCTCAGCATAATCAACTGATGGAATCATTGTGGGTCTGTGACCTTTATCTTCTTCTTCGTTAACTCTTCCTCTATTTTCATCATTTTCTTCTTGCGAGTAATCTTTGTTTGGTCTCTCGATTTGTCCTGAATGAGCATTTAAATTATACTCGGGTCCTAATGGATTTGAATAATCAGTTCCTGTGTTTTCACCATTATCATAATTGTCTTGTGGACGAGGTTGTTGCTCATCGTAACCATGATTTTCATTATTGTTATTGCCATAAGCTTGGTTAGATGGACCGTCTTGTTTATTTTCATCATTTTCATAATTTCCAGATGTATAACCTGGTGATCCTGTTGTTGGATAAGGAGGTTCAGAGTAACCTTCGTTGCCTGTAGGTCGATTATTAAACTCAGATGGTCCGGAAGGTGAACCTTGATTGTAGTTTGTTGGGCCATGGTTAGGTTGAGATTCGTCACCCTGATTGTATTGATTTGCCTTCAAGTCAACTAATTGATCTCGACCGATTGGCACAACTTGAGGTTGATTTTCAATTATATGGTCTGGAGAAACATCATAACCTTGAGGAACTTCAATAACTTGATAAGGAGGTGATTGTGGTGATTGATGGGGACCGTTAACATGTCCTGGTTCCTGATCATAAGAACCTTGAGGCTCTCCAGATTTGCCATTTTGTAAACCTTGACCGGGATGATATTCGATGAATGATGGTTTTCCTTGTCCTTGATTATTATTGTGAGGATGAATAATTTTGTATTGTAAATTGCTCATTGGAGGATTAATTGGACCATGAGCCATTGGGAATCGTTGATTGTTCATTTGTTGATGATGTCCTCCTTGATTACCGTTGTTATTTTTTGACATGTCAGGACGTTGTGCTAATCTATCGACAGGAACAATTGATGGAAGGCGCTCTTGGTGAGCAATTAAATGGATTACATTAAGATTTTTGGGATCACTTCCACCAAATGCTGGAGGTGAGCGGCCAGGCTGTCGGAATTTAGATAGAAGGGGACGGAAGATTGACGATATTCTTGATTTAATTGGATTAGCAGCTAAATTATCATAAATGATTGGAGAAGGTCCACTTATTACTGAGGAATGACCCGGAATGCGACCATTTGATGAAGGAGATGTTACTGTTATTGGGGGTCGATTAATTGATCGTCCGCCCTTCTCTCCTGATCCTCCTTCTGGCCTTAATTCAATAACTCTTGCCCCATCCTTGACAGCACCTTCAACCAAACCATGTTCAACTTCAGGAATAATCTTTAAAACCTCTTTCTCAATATCTTTGATGTCATTTTGGGTCAAAACCTTGTCATGATCAGTTTCAATAGCCACTGGAACTGTAACATATCGTTTACCCCCCTCTCCTGTAGTGACCTTAGGATAAAGACCACGATTAACCGGGAATGCATCAACAATACCAAAATCTTTCCTTATATCTCGTCCTCTTTCTTTCAACTGTTTAATCATTCGATAAGCATGAAGCTCAGCGTCTTTCATTGGTTTACCTTCAACTCGATTTGGCCTAGGACCAAGGTGAGAGCCAGGAACTGGTAAACCACGACCAAGATATGATAAATGTCTAGGCAGAAGAAGAGGTCCGTTCCCTTTCAATGAAGAGGCGTGTATACCTGTAAAACCAGGATAACCAAAACCGGGTTTACCAAAACTGTGACCCATTGGTGGTCCATATAATCCATGAGAAGCTGGACCGTTTGACGGACCTGATGAACCTGGGAAACCTTTACCAAACATGTCATCCATTTTAACTTGTTCAATATCAACAAGATTACGGTATTTGGGTGATAAATGGGATTCAGATGAATCAGGAGCGGCTAGAGATCCAGATTGAGAGGATGACAAAGGTGAACCCGATGTCAATGAGGTTGGAACTGGTAGAACTAAGGAAGATTTTAATGGCGCCGAGGAAGATAAACCAATTGGATTAGGTGAACCTCGTTGAGGTGACAAGTTGCTGTTTGAACTTGAAGTTGCATTTCGTCCAGATTGGACAACTCCATTGGCACTATTATTGTTATGGTTATAGATAACATTATTAAAATTACTATTTAAATTGGCATTATTATTATTACTATTAGAGTTAATATTATTATTATTTAAATTATTATTTAAATTTAAACTATCATTGTTATTGCTGATGCTTAAACTTCCAAATCCTGATAAATTATCTTCTGGTCTTAATCCATTTGATGTAGGAACCATTGGTTTCCATCCGCCAAATCTCCAAGTCATTTGTTCACCAAACGACAATCGCCTTGTATTAAGGTAGGGTTTACATTCTGTTAATTGATAACAGGTAAACAGGAGAAATATAATCTATTCAACAATAAAAAGATATAAGAATAACAATTAGATGAAGAGAAAATTTGAAAGTTTAACTTTGTTGGCGAAAAAGCAAAGCAAAAGCAAACAATTTAAAACAGTAACGTTTTTCCCATTAGTAGTCTACCTTATGTGAAGCAAAATGGTTTTAAATTAGCACCTAAATCACCATTTGATGACAATTGTTTGTTGAAATGTAATAAGACAATTAAATTAAAGGTAAATGACCAATGATTAGAAACAAGGCGATGAGAACCAGAAAATAAAAGTAGAACCAAGAAATGTTTTATGCAAGATTGATGTATTATTGTGGACAAGAAGAAAAAAAACTGGTCATGATTATTGTATTATTTATATCATTTGTCAACACTCAACAGCTGAGAAAACAATACAATTAACAATCTTGACATCAACATTGACCTTACATTGAAACAATTAAAAGCCTAAAACATGTTGACAGAAGCAATTGTTTAATTTGAAAAATTGGTCTATCAGCAAAAGTGGATTCACAAAAAGAAATGTATTGAAAGTTGTCAACAGATGAACCATTTTAGTATTGAAAAACAAATGGAGGCGAATCTTGTTCATGTTTAAATAACAAACAATTTAAGTCTCCTGTTAAACTCGTGAGACTGATAATTAGATTGATAATTACAATGATAATTAAAGTATAGACAGGATTTCTCAGGCGAATGGTAAAATTAACAATCGTCTGATAAATTCTGGTATACATTGTAATGGATACTTTACAAATAAAGGTTGTTATGTTTGTAAGGCACAACCTGACCTTGGTTAGATGGAAGAGTTTAAATGATTAGATTTTAAATAACAATTAGGGTAACTATTTATGGGTTGATGATTTAGGGTAGGACCATTGAGAGTTGAATGGGGTCAAAAATGATTTGATTTAGTCCAGTTAGAGTCTAAAAAGATGATAATGTTAATGATGATGGCACTGATGGTGATGGTTAAAATGGTGATGATATTTAGCTGTGTAACAAAATACTGACTAAACGTTAATGATGTTGATAAGTAAATTGAGACTGGAAAACAAATGCAAAAAATAGCCATTCATTTAACAATACAATTATCTAAATAATAGATTGAATAAACAGTTTCATTTTACAAGTTAAATCTCATTTAAAGAATTTCCATTTCATGGAAAAACATCTCACTGATGTTTAAAAAAATATATTAAGAGATTCAACAATTGCTTTTTGATTGATTGCTGTCTATAGCTAAACATGAGATTGTGCGAGGTTAATAGGCGTCTAATATATGATTACTGATAATGTAAATTGGATAATTCTATCAATTACCGAGTTTCTGTACAATTTAGCAACGGGTTTAATTGTGAGTAGCTTCACTTTTAAGTCACTTCACAGTTAACTGGTTCCATCAGATGGTCAACAAATTATAAGGTAAACAAACACTCAATTTAACCGCTTCTTGCGAGTCTCTGGGTTAACACCAAAGATGGGGTTATTTTAAACAATGTAACATCAACAATTGAACAGACGGTTCTAATTAGGAGGGAATTAACCCTTTTGGATGATATCTTTGAATTAAAAGTTAATTTTTTATATATTTTTCACAATTATTTTTCCTTTTTCCTTCTTTAATTATGGCCATCTATCAACCGGTACAGGAGCTTATCTCATTTTGAACTCTTTTATCCTCGTGTTATCTCTTGCTCCTTTTGGATTGCACGATTATCAAATGATTTTTAAATTCAATTTACTAAATTGAATGTGCTTTGAATCGGTTAACTTTATCGTGGTTTTGGATTAAACTCAGGGAAAAGTGCATTTTTGAATTGATTAATCATTTAAAGAAAAAGGTAGGTGATATTACATTTGTTTTGTCCAGTTAATTTGCTTTTATTTCAAGATGATCAATGATAATGACTTATTTTTATTTCTATTTTAGGTCAATTTCTGTCCTGGTCTTAAATCATTTCCACCTTCACCTGTATTAAACCGTTACAATCAGGTAAACAGGACTACAGGTTAATACAATTTTAATCAACAAAACACATTTCCCATGCTTATTAAACAACAATTGAACCACCAACGATCATCAAAAATCATCACCATCATTAGCATTACAGTACATACAGTAATAGCTTAACAACACTGACAACAAGATTGATAATGGACAACAACAGTGAAAGCAACAACATGTTTAATTAATTGAAAATATCCAGCGATAAATGGAAATCATTGGCATGTCTTAACTTTTAAATTAAGGTTAATGATTTCAACTTGACAATTGACAGTTTCAGTTGGTGACAATCACAACTTGATTTCCTTAATAATATCAATTAATGAAAAGTCATTACAAACCAGAAGTGTAATAAGCAATGTTAATTTATCAATTTATAATTAACATTATTAAATACAACAAACCAGTTGATAAATGACTTTTTGATGGTTTGAATTTGGTTTCTCTTTTGTCAGGTTGGTTTGTTAACAGCCAATGAGATTGACGTTGCTGGTTACCATGTAAATCCAGCTTGTTTTCCCTCGCATTTTAATAACGTTTATTACAATATTTAGATACCGAAGCTAGCGAGATGCTAACTGGCTGGCTTAATTCTGATAAAACCAAGCTTGGCTTGGCTCAGCCGGCTTGAGCTACTCAGCTAATTAAAAGGCTGATTTGGCTGAGTTTGGCTTGAAAAATTGCATTTAATTCAATTTTATAAGTTAAAAAATATCTTCATATTTTATATTAAACATCTAACACCACTTTAATGACATAACTCAACATGCTCTATCCAATGACACCTCTCTCATTCAAATTGGCGTCAGACGTTCACTTCCCTTGTGAGTGAACTTATCATAATTATCATGAGCAAATAAAATTTTATCAACCCTACATGGATTGAGTTGCCAGCGTTTTAATGAGTTAGTTATTTCTAATGAAATAAACAAGATTTCAGTGCAAATTACAAGTAAAAACAGAATTCGAGAAAAAAAAACTATTTCCAAGTGAAAAAGACGACCAAATTTGATAGCTAGCCGACTCAGCTAAATTTGAATTTGACTGGCTTGAGCCGGCTCGAGCTATTTACTTTTAACTGGCTTCAAGCACGTGAAGAAATAGCTGGCTGGCTGGCTCAATTGGCTAGCTTCGGTATCTAACAATATTCACATATTGATATTTTAATATTATTATTAATATATCTCATGCTTTTTACGACGCACCAAACAATTAAGTTTAACCTGATTTGTAATCGTCGTGGAAGAGCAACAATTCAATCACTGACCAATTACATCGCTACTCCAATCGCACAATCGATGTTGTTTAACATTGATTGTTGAGGAGTTGAGTGTCCAATTATTTTTTGCTCATGTGAGAGCAAAAGAGCTGTTACTGATCAATTTTTTCACAACAAAATCCAATGGTAAGTACAATTTAACATCAACATTAACATATAATACAATTAATAACAATCAACTGGTCAAATGAAAGAGAGAACGAGAGAGTGAGAGTGAAACAGGAAATTACAATCATGATTATTTGCCTTTAGACAATTAGTTATGTTTTTATTTCACCAATCAATTCTGAAAAACCTTTTTTCTCTTCTCTTTCTCTCACAGGTTCAAGAAAAGAAACAATTTACAATTGTAATTGGTATTGAATCAAAAAAATTATGAGTGGGAATGGCATTAGCTGTTTTGAGGGCAATTATAAGAAACACCTTTAACCACCTAATTTGATTATTATTGTATTTTGAATCAATTTTGGAGCAGAAAAATAAATCAAGTTGACAATCAAAATTGTTTACAAGTCACCTTTGTTTACTGAAGGTAAATAAACTATTATCATTTTTTAACCCAAACCATCATCATTATTAACAATCATTTAAAACTATTAAACATGTATTTTGTATAGTGAAAGTGTATCCATACAATTTGTCAATCAATTGTATTTTCACGGGCTAGGTCAAACCATTTTATTATCATTATTCAATCAAAATCAATCAAAAATATTTTAATGTTGATCTTTTCTGCTTACTCTTTTCACTTTTTTTTTATTCAGGAGTTTTATTATGCTGTTGATGACACTGAATTGGTCTTTTGCTTGTATTCAACTAAACGAAGTGGACTAAAAGCTTTAAATCTTGGATACCAATTGGAAATAAATTTGCCATTTGATTTGATTCATTACCGATTATGATGGATACAGATATACGGTAATTGTGATTGTATTGCTCAATATGGATTGTTCAATTGAAAGTATCGCACAATAATGACCGATACACGATATAATGGTCTAATCTGTTGATTGTGATGTTACTCTGCAATTTAAGATGTAACGACTGAGCATTAAGAATTGTTTGGATGGGCAAAGAAAAGCGTTTAACATTACTTTGCAGCTAAATTGTCTTTTCCGATTTCAATTATTGTTGATGCCTTCAAACGTGATTAATTTGGAGTTGAAACAATTGCGAGTTCGAGAATAACCAACCCTATTAGTGGCAATTAGCAATAATGAGAATCAAATATACAAATCAAGTGATTAAGGGAAATACTATTATGGTTAATGAATTATGCTGATTACCATAACAAACGTTGGCGTTTGGTCATTTCGCATTTAAACGGATTTTCATTTGAATCGTGATTTGGTCATTTCTGGTTCATTGTATGTCCACAGGTATTTTTTTGATTACTGTTGGTTTTATTGTTTAAATTTATGTTTAAATTATTTTTCAGACAAACAATGATAGATAGGATGCTGATGATGATGGAGAAGGCGGAAACAAAAAAGTGAAAGTAAAAAAATGAAAAGCAATCCAAATAAACAATGGGAAGAAGATGTCAGGAAAAGTGAATTATCTGTATTATGAGCATTTCAACTGGAACCAAAATAAAGTTCATTGAAGCATCACTCGTAATCATTAAGCATGAATCTTGAACAAACAAACAAATAAACAAAGTAAAGAGATGATAAATCAACAGCTCAATACATGAACACTTTAAAAAGGTTTCAACAACAGGTAGTGTTTATTGATGGGTAATCACTTTAGTTAGATGATCAACAGATTAACCTTTAATCAAATTTTAGCCACTAGATTAACTCACCAAATAGACACGCAAAAATTTTATTGCACAGATAGACTTAAAGATATAATTAACTGTTGATTGAAAAATTCAATTTGATATTAATCCCAATCCTGCATTATCATTATCTCTTCAACTAATTAATATCTCCTCTTATTTTACAGATTTTATCCTGCAAAAAAGACGGCAATAAAGATGGTGAAAAAAAAATCAAAATCCGTTTACAAAATAATGAATGTTATTGGACTCGGTTTTATGACTTCATAAAACAATGTTGAGATGTTTGTGGCGATAATATAAATTGTTGGGCGAATCTCTATGCATCATTGTAAAAGGTATGAATTATTAGTAGAGGATAAACGTCAAGTTAGATGAATTACGCTGAAGGAATCACTTTTAAAATGTATTTTCAACTTTAAGAGACGGAAACCAATTGTCCATTCAAGTTATGCTCAAGATAGATGGATGATACTAATTGTGTTGATTGTGGTGATAATGATGATCATAAAAAGAACCAAGGAAGTCGAGATGAAACATGACGATTATGATGATTAGTTGTTAGTAGGTAAAACAGTGAAACTCAACGAGAAGTGCAAGATATTACACGTATTGTGTGTAAGATAGTGAAAGTTAAAATTATAATCAACTGTTTGTTTACCTGTTTACTGACTTTTACTGATTTTACTGTTTATTGATTGTTTTGTTATAGACTGATTGACGGACCAGACTGGTGACTTGTTGGTGGCTGTTGCGTGACCCTAATAGCTCAACAATCTGGTCTTTGGTTGGCCTCTCACACACTCATTCACTTTATACTCATTGATCTTTACCACAACAATCACCATTATCAAAACAATCAGATGAAATAAACAGTGAAAGGGAACCATTTTGTTATTTGGTGATGCTTTGAGATGTTCCGGTTTTTTTTTGGTGGTTGATCTCCAAAACAGATTTTGGTTTCACCAACAAGTTGCCAACAACAATGATAATGATGTTGTGTGGCGATGATGATGATGGTGCTTGTGCTGGTGATAATGATTATGATGATGAACATGAAACACACGCCAGTTTCTTACCTTAGTTAACAGCTTGATACATTTGAATGTTTTCCCTCTTCATCTAACCATTCAACCTCTATGAGCTCTATTGCTTTATAAACTTTCAACCCTTGTAACACATTTATGAATAGGAAGTATACTTTTGCTGCTTCACTATCATCAACCTCATCAACATGAACCTTTCAATAGCCATGCAATTAAATTCTCATTCAATTAGACCAGTTATTGAGTTACCGAAAAAAAATAACAACTTTCCCGTACTGATCCATTATTATGTATAAATATATCTGAATATCATCTGAAGCTTTAAGGTGACGATGGAATACAGTTTAGTTAAAACAGTTTTCACATTTAAATTTGATTGTTTACTTTTGTTTAGATTGATAATAACATTAATACCATTTCAATTGTTGGTAATGATGATTGTAATGATGATAATCATAATGATCTAATCATGAGGTTGATGATGGTGATTAACTGTTAACAATATTGTCAAATTTAGGATAGGAAATGATAGATTGACTTAGGTTGGGTTAGACCTAACCCATTGAAAAGCAAAAACTGTATGCACACTTAAACCATTATCTGTCCATCCTTTTGTTTAATCAACTTAGATAATCTTTTAGCTATTAATTCATAAACATTACAAACATTGAAACTTTATTTGATCAGCTCAGTGCAAGATTCAATATACAAAATTTAAATTGTCCAGCAGACACCAATTATAACCTGTTAACCCAACACTTTACACACTCACACACATTGGCTATCAGTTGTGTCTACCTTGTGTCTAATGTTGATCATTATTACCATTAGAATCCTCTTTTTGCCATTGTTGTTATAATTATTATCATTATCAAATTGAGATAAATTGAATTGTTGGTGAATTGGTTTTGATTCGATGTTGGGTTGAAAATAGCCTTACAAATGTATTAAAGTAAAGGTAACATGAAGTTGAAATCTTGTCTTAAGAAGCGTAAAATAGTTACCAAATTAACTGGGCGGTTATTTAACGATTGATTATGATTTGGTTTATGTTGTTGTTGTTGTGTTGATTATGAGGATGAAGATGATTAAGGGAATCATAAAGATGGCGGATAACATGTTGTTAATGTTCATTGAATGCTTACAAATTGTTCAATCATCCATCAATCAAGCGAAAAAAAAGTTGCAATATAAAAAAGAAACTCTGTTCAAATGTTGAAGCTATTTGTAGACAATGATGATCAAGATGGACGGTAATAAGAAAGTGAAGTCTTTCTTTTTTTTCTCTCTCTCTTTTTCATGAAGATGGCAAAGGGTAAAAGAGAAAGCTTGGAAAGGATGAAAAGTGATGATGATAGGAAGCAGACTGATTAGATGAAAATAGGAGGTGATCAGGAGTGTGTATTGAGATTGGTCAAGTTTGTTTATAAAGCACACATAAGGAATGATGAGATGATGATGATGGGAAAAGTTGAGTTAATTGTAGTCAGAGGAAACCGATAGACAGCTAATTACAGCTGTAATGATGAAGATGATCAAAGAGTGTGAGGAAAGGTTGAAATGAGAATCGGTTTCTACCCTGAAACTGAAATGTTGCTACCAATTTAAAGTCACTTTATCATTATCATCATTATTAGCATTCAATTGATCTAAATTTGGCTAATTTATTTGAAATTCATCTCTTCTATTGTCATCAATCTGGTTATTTGGTATCAATTGGTTATCAATCCAGAATGGGTGAATAAACATGCAAGAGAAAGAAGAGAAAAGCTTTTCTGGTTAAAAATTTGGGTCTTCACCAGATTTGTAGGAAACAGCTTATTTGCACTTTGAATCTTAATCACGTTTATTAGCATTTTGTTTGATCAATCCAATTATTAGTCTAATTTTAAATCGATGATAATAATAAATTTGATGATAGTTGGGTGAAAAAAACAAAAAAAAAGAAGAAAAAAATGGGATAAAATTTAAGGTGCGATGAAATTATATTGAAGATATCAGGTTTCAAAAGATGACCATCCTGTAAAGGTTTCAATGGTGATGATTGAAGATTGATAGGGTTTAATGTTATTGTTTTTTAATAAAATGTTGTTGTTGATAATGATAATGATAAAGTTGATGTAAATTGTTGTCTTCAATTGTTGATGATCAACATGTTTTTTCCTTATGAGGGAGGTTAAGGTAATTGCTGTTGTTTTAAGGTTGTTGATGTAAAATGGTTCAATCAGATGCAAGACAGGCACATCATTAACAGAGGGTGAGAGTTAATTGTAAATGAACCATATGAATGAATCAAAATTTTTGAAACCTGTTATTTTAATATAATTCATATTAACTTGATGATATTATGATAACCTAAAGGAATGGATAAGATGAGAGTCCGTTGAGAGAGGAAATCAAGAAAATAAATAACTGTATTCTGTATACACAAGCACAGATAAAGCAACAGGTAATAACAATAATTGAGCGACACAAACACCAATCAAAAGAGTCCAGTTTATTTGGATGTAAAAAAACACTTCAGTAGTCTATTGAAGTTGTTAACCCATTGATTGAATGGTAAACCCATTAATTGTAATATAAAAAGGGCTAATTGGATTTTCACATTTGTTGTTGTATAAGATCAGGTTCAAGCCTATCTGTTGTCGGTTCATATTGAAGGTTTGTTTGGCCCTTTATCACATTAATTATATATTTTTAGCTCTTTTTACGTTCACTTTTCAATTAACAACTATTTATGTGTTCTCATTTTACTGATTAATCTCAATAAACCTTTATAAATAAATGAATACAATTTTAATCACACAAAAACACATGTTTAATCCAAGAGATTAAGGTTAACCATTTTTAGTAAGGAATGGATCGCTTTAAGCATAAAATTGTGGGTTAAGTAACCAGGAAAAATCCGCAAGATGACGTTCTTTTTTCATTAAATTAACACTGAAAATACGGACTAATGATGCGTTAACCGAGATATGGATTGACCGTTATGGGTAGTGCCTATGGGTAGGTAAAAGGCCTAGACAGTGCCTTAAAGCTGTCGCTGGCCGGTCCACACAAGCATAACCAACAAGTCTTTACGGTATCTTAAGGATTAAAAGGATCCATTCAAGGGATTGAGTCAAAAGACTGGATCATCAACTTTCTTTAATATTTAATGTCCATTAATCATGTAAATTGTTATAAAACCATTATTACAGTTAGATTGTAATTAAATGTGAAGAACAAACAAAAGCCTAAATTGAGGAAAAGTGCGATTAATTAAATGATAATATATGTATAAATATGTAGATGAGTATGAAGATGGGTTTGGGTATATCAATCAGTTTACTTTACTGGTAATGTATGTAAATAAAATTGTGTTTTCTTGTTTGATTTTGGGAAATTATAAGAACGAAATGAAATTGTTAATTCAATTCTAGATTTTGATCATGGCCATCATCACCGATTATTTGATTAATCAATTGTTAATAAGGAAATTAAGAAAGTGAAAGAAAAAAACAATGAACAGTCAACAATCAATCAATATGAGCCAATTGAGAAATCACTGATCGAGATGTTGATTCATTTGATAATCATGACTTGATTTAAACATGTTTACTGAATCGATTCATCCATTCATCAAACCATAAATCATCTAGATCATCATCTGAACTACCATCTAAACCATCATCAAAATGACCAGTAAAACCCAAAAGCACAAGTAACTCATCAAGAGTTAATCCTTGCATATTGATGGGACAAAAGGACTTGACTGGATTTACTGATTATCAGGTTTAATTTTACATCTTGATAGTTCAATTGACAAGTTATTTATGATTTATATTTATATTTATAGATGGATATTTGTTTTTTTGATTAGTATGGATTGTTAAATAAGTAAATTGTAAAAAGGTATTAATCCAAAAAAGAAGCAGAAAAAGTGTATTACCTTTGTAAGCCCATTCAGCTGATTCACTTGTGTGTTTGTTTGATTGATTAAACTGGTTAAACTGTTAGGCTTTGAATGGGTTTCCCATTCACACATTTGACTAAATTGTCAATTGGATTGATCGATGGAGAGACAATCAAAAGTAAATCATAACAACACCAACAATTTAAAATAAACATATTAACCTTTTGTTGTTGATGTTTGTTGTTGCTTTATTTAAATCGTTGCTTCTTCATGATTGCAATACATTGTGTAAGTTGCCATTCAAATGTACACTTGTAAATTGTGATTTGTTAACAAGTTTCTTGAACTTGTAGATTGAACAAATAATAGATTAATTTTACAACAATTTAGATTTGTTACAAATACAATTTAAATATGGTTTAACAGTTGCAATAATTTTCAAATTAAATTTCGCTCTGTGAGACAAATTGAAAGGTTTAATTAGAAGACGACCCCTTTAACATTTGAATTTTTCGGTTAACTGTTATTGTAAAAGCTGTCTGATTATTAATAAAACTATTTACATTTTACTGTGAAATTGAACTGTTTTTTGATTTAATTTGTACTTTGATATCATTAGTTAATTGGACCATTTCACTGAGAATATTAATCTTCAATTACACCTTTTAATTAAACCTGTAAGTATTGTAACTCTCTTCCTGAAAATCAGATTGTACGTTTTTCTTGTCTAATTGTAAACCCCTTTTAAAATGATTGAATATCTACTAATTTCTGTTTGCTTCCTTTATCAGATATTCTAGATCTCACATATTCTATGCTCGGCTCAATTCATCGACTAACATTGTAAGATAATCCGGAATCAATCTGTGACTCAAGAACGTTAAGCATGGCAAAGTGGCGGGATAATGTCTTCACCTGATTCATACAACATTAATTTAGACGATTCAAACAAATTGGATTTTAAACAATTGACTACTGATACTGAACTTCTCTAACCTTGACTCATTTAATTGTCACTTTGAATGTCTTCATTTACTCATTTATTGGTGATTTAAACATCAAACTTCCCACTTTTGAGTCATTTTTGGTAAACAAAGTTGCCCGTCAAATGTTTCATTGTTCAAATTTGTGTAAAATTGATTTAATTAGGACATTCAGGTGCCACACTTGAACATGCCATCTAAATGGTACTAAACCATTCATTTTAATAATGTAGTTGATTGTCATGATACATTTGAATTGAATCGTTTTATACTGCAGTTTTTTATGATATTTGTACATTAATCATAAAAGACTGTATGACTTTCAAATGTTGAACAATCAACCCTGAATTAAAATGAATTAAAATGATAATTAAGATGGCTATCTGTTGTTGGCAAAAGATGAAACCAATTGAAATGTAAATGAAGCAATCAAAAGTGTAAATAAATGAGTGAAACTATTAATAATAACAATAATAATAATAAGTATCATCACCATCAACATCAACCAAATAATAGAAGTAAATTAGAAAGATTTAGTTTCCTCACTGACCTGTTATGGTGATTAGATGTTGATTGTTATTGATGTTGATTATAATGATGATGGTTATGATGATGATGATGTCGATGAAACTAATAATCTAATTTAGTTTCTTGTTCCAGTCAACATATTAATGACATTAAATCCTTAACGATGAACACATTAAAATTCAATCTCTTTCTGATCAACAATTAGAAACAAATAAAGGTTAAATTTGCAATTGAGAAGCAACTATTTTTAAACATTTTTTACCAATAACCTGACAATTTAATTGAGTTATAAAAGATGACAAAGAATAAAGCCAACAATATTAAAAATCAATGATACAGTTAATTGTTATAACAAGTTTTGATTATCTGAAAAAATCATTTTCTCACAATTTTTGTTTTCTTTTTTTTCTCAATTCTAATTGTAACTTGCCTTAAAGGTAAACAATATTTTTAAGCATTTAAAGGAATTGAGCTCATGAAAAAAAACCTGCTCATGATGAGGATGAAGATGATTTTAATCAACTAAATGGTAATCAAAATGAGAAAATATTTGGGTTCAAAGGTTGGTGCCCTTGGGGCCTATCCGATGAACCAAAAATTGTTGAAAATGTTAGTAAAATCTTTGTTTGTAGTCAATGTTTGTTTGATTTTGTTAGGTCAGCAACATTAACACTGTCCGATCAACTTAACTATCATTTCATGCGCCTTTACATCCTTAACATGATTTTTCAGATTGAATTTTTCATCTTTTCATTTCAAATTGTTTCTAGTTATCGCTTAAAATCAGTAAAAAACAAAAGATGTGCTTTCTAATTAAGATTTAAAAGGACATTAATCAAAATTGATTGAAGTTATCCAATTTTAATGCACATTGGTCATTTGCAAACATTTTGACAAACATTTTTAGTTCATCGGATAGGCCTTCGGCATCGGATAATTCAAATAACCTAGAACTTGAAATTGAAGTTCTAATCAAGATGAAATGGTAAACTAATCAAAATGATAATGTTAATGGTAAATGGTTTTCCAAACTGTAACTAAATCTGATTGTTTGTTTTCAAAAAATATGTAAACCAGATGAAGAAGAAGAAGAAAAAGATCCACGAATTGAAGAAAAAAATCAGCTCAATTTTCATGATGCATTTCACATGTTCAGCACCTAAATCAAGGGGCTATTAAATAACCACTCCTGACCTGGGGTCAGTTAAATGAGATTAACCGGATAAGCAAGAGAAGCGTCATCTTGAAACAAAATTAATTTTAAAATATTAAGGTTAGGTAATAATTCATTGAATTTGGGTTTATTTTTAAGTATTACCAGATCTTAACCAAATCAGGTTAACTCAAAGATTAATGTACGGGATGTAACAGTCAAATAGCCAGTTTTGAATCACTAATAACTTTTTTTTCCTTTGCTATAATTTAAATTTTTTTCTAATCCAAATAGTCAATTTGTCAAAATTTTGTTTTTGGTAACTTTCAAAGAAATGAAATGGAGCTAAAGGGTGCAAAGGTGGCTCAAAGTCAAAAAAGCTGCGTTACGACCCGAAGTCGATATACCCTTCGTATATACTTCTGGTCATAACTCGTGAGAGGAAGGACGCAATATATTTTATAACATATCATCTGACTCAGAAATTTAGACTAATTAACTTTATGGATTTGAAAATTTTTTAAATTCGAGCTAAGGACGAAAAATTAATTAGCGATTCAAAATCGGCTATTCGACTGTTATCGTATATGCTTGCATTAAACTTTGCCTTTTGTTGAATGCATCTTGTACATTAATCTTTGGGTCAAATTGTTTATTATTTTTTAAATTAGGCCACGAAATTAATTTATAAACTAAGAAGCTCAAGAGCATCATCAATAATTACAATGTAAATCTGGTTCGATTATTGACTAACCAGAAAACAATGGACAAATGGTAAATTTTGGTTTTGCTTTGTTGACCAGAAAAGAAAAAAATTTGACAAAAAAGTTTCTATTTACCTTTAGATGCATTTTGATTAAACAATTGCACTTTCACTTGACCAAATGAAATTTGATTTTCTGCTGAAATTTAGATATTTTTAGTCAATTTTGGCAACAACAAATACAATCAAATTGAGGTAAAGTCAACTGTAAATTGTTAGAGTTAATCCGTAAACACTTTACACAGATCCAATATGGACAAACCATGAAGCTCGTTCAGCGTTCAGCAAATAGGAAAACACTTTTAACGATAAATTAAAATTTAAAGTAACAATAAATGTCAAGAGACAATTTTCAACCAGAGAAAAGGAAAAGTCGATTCAATAGATTTTCATTTTGCTTTTGCTACCAACTGTGATTAAAGATGAACGGTAAACATGATAACACAATGAATGTTGTTGAAGTTGACTGATGGAAATGGTTAAAGCAAATGAGAGTCCGCAAAATCGGTTGTGATTCAGGTGAAAACTGAACGCTGACTTCACTGACTGAATCAAGTGAAATGGTTAAACATTTGAAAGATGAAGCCCATCTTTTTACTCCATTAAACTGTATACCCAGTTAAACTAGTTTCATCATCTTTATCATCATCATCATCAACAACTCTCTTCAACATCCTTCCTCTTTCTTACCTTTTATCATCATCATGATTATAATTTTTACTCATTTTCTTGATTCTTTGCCGAATCAAACCATTATCATGAATTGATAAAAGAATGAGAACCATTTTTTTCTCAGTAAAAATTAACTCCAAGAGACTTTCTTTTTCCACCAACAATCAACTCATCAATTTGTTCACCCTTTTACACCTTTAATTTGATTACCATTAACCTTTTATCAGCACCAGTAACCAGCGTTGCCCAATTTAAGAACCAAGAGTTGAACATTGTTCGAGCAATAAAAAAGGGTTCAATCTTCAAACTTACATTTTTATGAAACATTTTTTGTCGAAATTAAATTTTGCTTTTCAATTTCGAGTCTAAAACTGTTGACAACTTTTCATGATTGAAGTCAATTGTACGGAAATTGATTTTTGCACTTTTAATTGTTGCAATTTTCAATTTTTCAATCAAATTTTTTCACTTCTCTTGTTAAGCTTTTAATCAAATATTGAAATTAAATTGCAAAGTTAATTGATGATTCAAGATTAATCAAGATTAAGATTTAAATAATGAAAACGTGTGTTATCGGTTCATTGACAGTTAATTGTTAACAATTGAATCTTTTCAATTGTTTCACTTTTCCTTAGCCTTCTGACCATAATGTTTATCATGCTGAGCTGATTAACTCTCCATTATAATCACAATAATAATCTTATAATAAAATGGCTTTCAACTTTTTCTAGTCTTTTCTTCATGTTGAGGTTTCATTTTTGAAACATTTTTTTTCTGGTTTCACTCTCTCTCTCTTTCTCTCTTCGTTTCGCCGAGATTCAGATAACAGGAAATTTATGCTGAGCAAAAATGAGCAAAAGTGGCGAGAAAAAAATGCATTTCCGTTCTTTATCATTATAATTGTTATCGCTTGCTGAATCAAGATTATGATGAATGGTAGTGAAATTTGAAATCAAATTAACCATAACATTGGAAAAAAATATCAAAATATTGAGTTTGTTGCAATATTGTGTAACAAGAACAATTGATTCATCAGAATCTAAATTTGTTGCTTCACGCCATGAGATGAGTATGGATTGATGGTGAAATTGAAAGTTATATTTTGATTGAACAAAAATCGTCTCTTGATTGTCACCGGCTGTCTGATGAATCAAGATGTAAACTGTTGGTTGGAAGAAGAAAAAATTTCCCCAAAATCATCTCTTTAAATGGCAATTGAACTGGAAAACTCACAACTTTCATTTTCCTGACTTTTTTTGCTGCGGAATAAAGTTTTTTCATGTTTTCTCGAAATATCTTTCAATCTCAGTTTCCATTTCAATACCTTCTCTGAGTCGCTATGCAAGTTTAGGAATATCAATTGATCTTTTCTTCCAAGATGAGATGTTCTGTGATCGAATAGATTTTCATCTGATTAAACTTGAAATCATTTTCAAATTTTTGGTTCGTGCCTTTAAAGTTTGACGAGATTCGACAAACGAAACGTTTGATCAATTTGCATTTTTTTGAGAATCGGTCGAAACTGAAATTTCACTCTTACTTTTTTGTCTCTCACAACAATGTGATGAGATGCAAATTGATAATGGCATTGATTTTATTATTTCAAGCATTTGATTAAACAAGAGGCATTCTGGTTGTGATTGTGATTGGCTGGTCAAGTGACTGGAAAAGTGGTAAATTAATTTGATCAAATTGACTGAAATTGAAATGATAATGATAATAATAACAGTTGACCTGACCTGAGAGAGGAAAATTGATCATTGATTCGCTCATCTTTTTTCACCTTTCCTCTTCATTTCCATTTTTATTGAGCAATTTTGCTGAACACATGCAAGTAAATGTGTTAAATCATGTGACTGGAATCAAATTGAAACACTTTATGGTTAATAAAATAGGCAAATTTGATTGGCTTAAGAGTGAAAAGAAAGTGAGAGTAAATTGATTAAAAGGTTGAATTGAGCTTGAAGAGGGTGCCATTCAAATGTCTCAGGTTGATCAAGTACAAAATAATTGTGCTTGAAACTATTGAATACTGGAGGCAAATGCAAAACTTGCTTTACTTTCGACTGATGATATTTTTCATTTCATGTTATCCAAACCAATGTCAAACTATTCCCTTTAGTCTTTACTTTTATTGTTTTTAATTGATCTTGCTATTGCTGATTTTATCCTCACTTTAGCAGTTTATCAATTTCATCTGCAAGTTATGTAATTGAATCACTTTATTAAAATGAAAGTTTAAAACTCCAAAGTATTCATGGTGTCGTCTATGAACGAATTTAAATCTCTACCTAATAAAAATGTTAATTTTTTGATAAAAGAGGGTGGCATAACTGTTGTTTATGCTTTAGGCTATCTATTAAACTAAAAAGTGAAATTTCGAGGACTAAGTTCAATAGTGAAATTATTCATATTTAGTTATAAAAAGTTCAACGGCGGGAAATTAACCATTTAGGGTTGGGGCAGAGGGAGCTAACCGCGCGTTGATAACACATGCTCTAACATTGGACAAGCAGCGAAGAATTGAATGTTGTTGACATGCTTTGAGCTTCACAGTTGAAGTGCTTATTGACCATGGACGAGACCTGATTGCACACTTATGAACCAGAAACATCATTTGAGTCAAAAGAATGGGTAAAAAGTAAGGATCAATGTAAGGCCAAAACTAAATCGTTTTGAAAAAGGTTATGGCTGCAGTTTGTTGGGACTGCTATGGAATCCTCGATGTAGAATTCATAGAACAAGGACAAACAATCGACGAGGATGAATCTCGGAATTAACTCGATACTGTAAACGTAATTTTGAAGAAAAAAAGACCAGATCATATCTTTTTTGTAACAACATGAGAGTTGAAAAAATTTCTGAAAAAGCCAAGAGATTTCTGCGTCCTAACAGAATTAGGGCTCAAAAAATTTTATCACAACATGAAATTTCTTCTGAATCTTCGTTTGAAATTGATGAGCCAAATGTATCGATGCTTAATCATAGCCAAGAAACAGATCCATCTAATATCCGCACGCCAACTAATATTCGACCTCCTGAATTTCACCGTCGACTTGTGCAAGATATACATCATCTAGTGATAAATAGTTGAGCCTCCAGTCCCTGAATCGAATCGTATGTAAATGATAATAGAGAGGATAATTAAGATAATTGGTGTAAAATTGCGGAGTTGGATTGGGCACATTTCATGTTTAGTTCGGTTGTTAGGATTACCTGTGCTTTGATATTGAAAATAAGGTTACAGTAATTATACGTTTATTTCACAAAAATCATTTATCTATTAATATCAACTTTCTGCCAACAGACCTCATGCTGTCTTTTAGAGACTATCGACGGACTCTCTACTTCACATTCTTCAACTATACTTGATATCAAAGGTAATCCAATAAACTTTTTTCTTACATTCATTTCACTGGTGTGAACAATTTATCCAATCGACTTCGAACACAATTCTAGTTTTTTAATCAATTCTAATTCAATCGGCTCTGATTTTTTGTAAAAATAAACGTTTAATTACTGTTAAAGGGTAATCTTATAAGAGGTGTCGCAAGATGATCTCAGATTAAGGTTGAGATTTAATTCTCCAGAATTCTCTTTAATTCGCTATAAAAGGTACCAGTAGTGAAATTTAGACAAAAAATGAAAAAAAAAACATTAATTAAACCTTAATCAAACAAACAATCCAATGTGCAATAAAAAATTTTCAATTGTCTCTTTAGTTGGACAAATGAATAAGCTTTTGATTGCCAGCGTCATCTGAGAGTGACCGAATGAAGTAAATCTCAACTTGAAAGTTTTACCATTTTCATGCTCTTTCTTGTTACCTTACAATAACAGTATTTGTATTGATAGAAAAATAGTGAAGATAAGATGAGAGAGATGGCGTAAGCATGGAGTTGCCATATATTTTGTTTGGTTAATTGTGTTCCTTAACGTGATAATAGAAAATGTAGAATCTCATGCTAGAGTTGGGCGATATTATCGAAATCGATGATATATATCGATATTTTTACAAAAAATATCATCGATAAACTGAAAAAAATATCGATATGATTTAAGACATTTAAAAGATGCTAATTAGCTGCATTTTTGTGTAAATTTCGGAAAATTTTTGAATGACCATAACATTGCATTTTTATATCTCTGCATTCGCTCAAGAAAAGGCTCTTTTCAATGCAAAAGATATAATCTAAGACATTGAAAAGCTCATCTAATGACAACTTTAAAGTCTTTTCAGAGTTCATTATGAGATTATTCATTCAGTAATTGTTTTTTGTTTAGTTTTCATAAAATATCGATAATATCGATAATATCAATATCGCAAAATTTCATATCGATATTTACGATGATATTATTTTTCAATATCGCCCATCTCTATCTCATGCTGAAGATGGTTTTAATGATTCAGTCAATTTAACCAGAGTTCCAGACCCATTGTATGCGCCTGCAGTTGAATTGTACCCTTCTCTATGGGTAAAACTTGCTAAGCAGTTCGATAAAACTTTCTTGAAAATTCAAAGCAACTAACTTTCAACTGACAAACTCAACTAACACTTGAACAAGAATTGTTTTTCGTTGATAAAATAGGGAAAACGAAAATAATTTTCAATCCTAGTTTGAATGAAATTTCTTTATCAATATCATTCTTCATTCGATTCATCAAAATACAAACCTCAGAATTGAATTATTCAATATCCCAGTATTTGCAAGTATAATTTCCATTGGACTCGATGTACAAATTTAATAACCATAAGAATATTTGGTGATTTTGTTTCCATCAACTGAATGCCCGAAGCCAAAGAAATCGAGTCTTTTTTCGTCTATTGAACAAAGAATGGCAAAAATTTCTCAATATATCATTTCATATTAGTCGAACTATTGATGAATTGTTTTTTTCCTGATTAATGGAGCAGGTTTGTTGCTCTTTTTGAACCAATTTTGCACTTTCTTTTTCCTTTTTATATGAATTTCTCAACTAAACCTACTCTTTTTGAGCATTTCCAGTCTATTGATTCCAAAGTCAATCAAGTAATATTTTAATGCCAGACCAACTTGCAAGGTTAAACTGTTGAACGAAAATTGACAAAAAATTTTCTAATAGTTCTTCTTGTTGGTTGTTACTCGAAATGTTATTAAATAATTCCTTGTGAAGAAAATTTGTTTCAAGGTTGATTTATTTTCACATTATAATAGAATAGAATGTTTGATGGAAAAGAAAAGTAAAACTCATTTCTTGTTCATCAGCTGCTGTTATTTCATGAATCGTGTTTTCCTTTCCATTTATTTGGACATTATCTGGACATTATTGTATCTCGAGTTTTGCCAGTTGAAGCAAGTTGAAAATAAACTGAATAACCTCATTGATAAAGTTGCCTGTTTCCTTTGATTTCTTTCATTTCAACAACCACACAAGTTTTAACTAATTGGAATTGAAGATGGACGTAATAGGGAAAAAAAGATTCCTAACAAGAAAGGAAAACGTTAAAGTTGAAAACTTTTCAACCGAAAATATGTCAAGTTCTGGACATGACTCGCTTCCGTTTTTGCCCAAAACTTACCTTTCTAAAAGCCAAGCCAGCGGATATTGTACAAATTAGCTGGAAGGCTCTGAATTGCATAGCTTGATATCCATTATAATTGTCGATTTGATTTGATCACAGAAACGCAGAGAGACTAGACCGACTGTTTGACAGAACTTCAAAGACGATTTAATTTACTTCAAAGTTTCGACGAAAAACAATACGAGATTTTCATTAAAAATTAATAACTGTAGTACAAAAATTGATAGGAATCAGTCATCATTGTGGATGCTGTTTGTTGAAATAAAATTTACTGCAAGGGCTAGGTTTAGAGACGATCACTTGATTGCTCTTCAGCAACAAGATACAATAAAGTACATGGAACTTAATTTTCATTGTTTTTCACTAATTTATTCTTCATCAAGCAATCGACAACTCAAATGTTAAACCTCATATCACAAGTCATTGTAACAATAACATTCTGAATAAAGGAACGCTTTGAATCGGAAAAGTTGGACTTTAATTGTTAGGCAACTTTGAGATGGTCTTCAATAGAAATGAAATTTTATAGTTTAATATCAACATTGGAGTTTAATCAAATTATAGATCTTTTTTTACAAGATATTATTTTGAAATTATTTGATGATTAAATAACAAGATCTTTCGAACATCTATTTATACAGATTATTGTAACAGATTTAAGCTCGTTTGTTGTTATTGTTTCTTGGTCATTGATTTTGTTACATGCATAAGACATGCTTTGATTTTGATGGATCAATTCCTTGTTTCAATTGATCATTATTTGTTAATTTAAAATACTAGTAACGAATGCAATAACGATAACTTGAGCAGCTTGATATTGTCGTGTCCATTTTGGATTCACTTTTGTCTTTACACTTCTCTTCTTCCGATTTAGGCTTGGCATTTCTTTCATTCATACTATTGTGTGACAGTTGAACCAGAATGGATCGCAGTTCAATGGCTCTTAAACGCTTTTCACGTTCCGTTTTAATCAAAGTCCAATAGACTAAAGGATTGATGGCAGAATGAGAATGACCCAGGAAAAGAGTGAAAGGCAACATATCAAGGGCATATTGAGACTCTGTTAGGTCGAAATAAAAGGAAAGTATGTTGTATGGAAGCCAACAAAAGACAAAGCAGACTGTTATGGACATTAGGAATCGAGACAAGTGTCGTCTATTCATGGCCATTTTCTTCTTCTCCTTCATCTCAGGATTGATTAAAATTTCAAGGTTATCAATGGTCGACGAATCGGATGAAATGGTTGACGATTTTACACGGAAAGCCCTTTTACGTGATGAACCACGTATATCACCATTCATAGTTCCCCGTCTATTCGTCAGTTCCCGATTAGATGATACCAAAGCCAAAGAGACTCGAGTATGACAGTAGACTAGAATGGAGCAAGGAATCAGGTAAACAATGATGAAAGTTATAACGCTAAACAGTTTACGGTGAACATCGGAAGGCCAAAGTTCAAGGCAAAAGGAGAAAGAATAGTCGAGTAAATGGACAAGTTTGAGTTTACGGACAAAAAGTAATGGTATTGGCAACAGAGTCGAGGATAGCCAAGTAATGCACAAAAATATACTGTTGAGTGGTGCAAATTTACGCATCGAGACAAGATCGCTTCGTTGCATTAATGTGTACCTAGCAAAGGACAGTGAAGTCATTGACAGAGTTGTCGATGTTATTGCGACTCCTGTAAAAAGAGATTAAAAAAGATTAGCAAAAAAATTATTAGGCAAATTGGATATTTGCAATTCAAATCCACCATCAGAATCAACAAGTAAGGAGAAGCATTGGAGCTCAGCATTTGTCTCTGAACAAGTAAATGAATTAATCATAATCATGATCTATTTACTTGAAATTGCATGAAACATGAAATTATTCTAAACGAAAAAATTCAAGTTTTCCATGAAATCCATAGATTCTATTATGTAATTTTCAGTCAGAATTCTAAATTCGATTTTTGCGGATAATTACCTATTGAACAAAGTGCATCAATTTTCCACATTCATTTCCATCAATTTTACCAGATTACAGCAGAAAAAAATAAGTCTCATGAGATTCATGGAATCACAAAATGTATTCAATTTCATTTGGCCATAAACAGCCCATGAACGAAAAACAAATTATCATTTTTCCTGGTTATTCACAAATAATTATTCTTCACTCCCAGTCGACTTTGACTATAAACAAAAAGAAACTTATAATTAATTCATAGAAATTTTTTAAAGAAAAATTCGCTGATAAAGTTTCACGTTTATTTGTGAAGTTGCAGAATTAATGAACGTAGAAATGAATTTTTTTATTAATATTAATACGCTTTCATGATTACAGAATGGTTGTTTTTTCAGTTTATTTTTTCTTCATTTTCAAATTGGACAGAATTTTTGTTTTTGTTTTAAGTAAACATTTAAACTTAAACTGAATCTAAACTTATAATTGATCCTCGAGGGTCAAACTTTTCATCCAGCATTTAGTTAACAAGTTTTGATTAGTTTTAATATTTTCTCACTCCTAGTCTCCAACTGACTGGGAGTGAGAAAATATTAAACTACTTAAAGCTGTTGGAAGCTAAAGATAAATTTTGTTTATCTTTTCTCTGTCAAAACTAAGCATTTGATTGAATTACAAAGTATTACTTTTCCCTCTCAATGGTTATTTCACTCTTTTATCAACATTACTAAAACATATAGTTTATCAACTCAATCAGCTATCAAAAGAAGACATTTCAACTTGAATATTAAGCAGCTTGGGTGATAAAGATGTGCTGAAAGGACAATTTACATGCATTTGCAATTCAGCATTTTTCTCGACATTTTCTTTCGTTCAATGAACCAGTTCAACTGATCAACAATTCTTGCTGCCTCATGGCTTTTCATTTTTCACAATTTGAAGCATTGAGTTATGCTCGAACCAGATCTTGCATGAGTCGTTGTCTGTCCTAAACCAAGCCAAGTGTCTTTGTTCATTAAACTATTGAAGAAAATTTAACTTCTTTTTTTGCATGAAATCTTTTTTCACAGAATCTGAACAGTTCATCATCTAAGTGTTTAATCATCACTTTGAGATACTTTATAACCCAACATCCCATGAGGTACTCATGAAATTAATGAAGTTTTACTTGACAGTCCAAGTGTCAACCCTGAAATGATTGCAAATTTATAATTAATTTAGCACACATTGTATCAATAAGTGATGAGAATACTTGAATCAAAAGAGGTTTAGAAAATTTTGCAATATTCATATAATTGTCGTTCCCATACATTCATGTTACTGGCTGATAATATTGAAAAAAATATTTGCATTAATTTTGCAAAATATTCTTTTCCCATGAAACTTGCAGAATTTTCTTGTTTACCTAAAATACAGTATCAAAAAATAATCTGAATCTGGTAAAGCTAAAGAATCTGTAAGCTCATGAATTAAGCAATTGTCGGAAGAAACATTTTAATAATAAAATTGAATTTCTTTACAGTTTTCAGTCAACAACTGAACATGAAGCTTGAATAAATAAAGCTTAATTCTGATTAACTTTTCTGGTTCAGCTCATGAAAAGCAAAAAAATGAGTAAAATTTAATATTCAAATTGAAGGTTAAACTTTCGTTTGTTATTGAAAATAATTTGTTCATTAAAGTTATATTTCGAAACTCGTTATTGTTATAACTTTTTGAGAGCTTCATTTTGATAAATTAGTCTAATTAATGGTTTGAATAAATATTGAATAATTTGTTATTTGCGTCAATTATCATTAAACTTGTCTCACCATGAAAGCAATTAAAAAGAGGTAAAAATAGTTCGGAAACTTGAAAATAATGAAAATCACTTTTTTCTCAATTAGCTTTGCATTTTTGATCAAATTTCTTCCCACTATTTAGTCAAGTGAAAATGCTTGAAAATTTAAAGTCTATTTTGAAGTGAATTAAAGTTGAATGAAGAGGAAATAGTTGACATCAATTTTTAATTCAAACTCAATGCTTTGCTTTTGTTATTTCAAGCTAAATGTAATAATGAATAAGATCTAAGGATAAGAAAAGTTCTGATTCCAATCTTTTTATTAATGGAGAAAAAATTGAGTATTTTCAATCTTTTCATTAACTTCAATTGCTCGAGTATTGTCAGTTGGTTCAAGTTTGCATCGTTGAGTTGTTTATCATCTTTTACCTTGTCATGTGTAACGTCAATTTGAAAAGGTGACGATTATAACGAAACAAGAATAGTTCATTAGTCTAATTAAATTTACTAATATTAATACTGATTAGAAAACTTTTCTTGAATAACTTAATTTTTTAAAGTTCATATCGCAACCAAATATAAGAAATGGACGAAAAAAAGAAAAGTCTATTTCTAAGATTCGATGAAGACTCTGCTTTGATTTTACAGTTTTTTAAGTTCAATTTCAGTTTTTGATATTAATTGGATTCGATTGGAATGCCAATGCTGTTTCCATTCGAAATGAATAGAAATCTTTTTTCAAATCGTTAAAAGAACGATAGATTTTTCTTTTTTCGTAGCCAACTTGTTATTACTTCTGAAATCTCGTCTGCGTTACTGGCCAACCTGAACATCAACCCATTAGCTTGCAGGGCACGTAGTCAACCTGTTGACAAGATTACAGATTTGTAGTTGAATTTGAAACTTTCAAGTTTCCAATGTCAATTTATTTGTTTCCTTCTGTTGGATGAATCCATCAGATTAAAGTTTCTCAAGTGCAACAACAAGTTGCTGTTGAACCTACTTTTTGTAACTGCTTCAATTGTTACTCACTTGAAAAGGCTTGCAATGGAAGAGTTGATCGATCATTTGATTTTGATGCAATTACTTTGCAATAAACTGCATAATAATGTAATAAACATCCAATAATTTCATAAGTTTATCAGCCTTATGAATAAAGGCTGCAAGAATAGGCTTAATACAATAGTGAGTATAAATTTAATTATCTAAGCAACCAAGGAAAACAATTTCCACAGATTATTTGCTCCATGAATGAATATTCACAATTCACTTTTTGTGAAGCGAAAAACATTAATATTAAAGACTTATTTACTAACCAAGAAACCCAAATCATAACCATGTTTCTTTGTTAACCAATCAGATAAACTTTGTAACACAATTCTATCTGAATCTATTCTTTTGAACTTGTTCAATGTTGTTTCAACCCTTTTAATTGCAACAACCTAAATGGTAATTTGAGTTGTTACAGCTTTGTGTTGTATAAGCTTTGTGAAAGTGAAAAGCAAAAACTTTTAATCTGATCATAAACCACAACTTGCTGGACTTAATAATTGTTCAATAACAAAAGCTCAAAATAGCTCAAGTTCACAGGAATTCAGAGATTACTCTTTGAGAAAATTTGAAATTTGTTCATGCTTCTGAGTGACTAAGCAAACACTCATGTTTCAACTTTTCATTTTATCTCATGAATATTGATTAAAAGTAACAAAATCTAATAACATAATAGTAAAGTTAATAGAAGAAAAGTTGATTAAATTATGAGCGAAATGTATAAACGTTGCAGATTCAATTATGGTCTAGTTAGTTGAAGGGATTTGTTTGTGTGGAAATATCAATTTACTGTGTTCTCATTTAATCACAAAAATTAGCATTTGAGACACATTCCACAGCATGATATAGTCTATTCAGTTGGAATCTTTCAGTTGATTTATAACGTTTATAATGGTTCAACTTAACTTAAGTTTGTCAGTAAAAAACATGAAAAACTCGATCAATACTTTGAAATTGGAAAAGCAAACAAAATCGTTTGATAGCGTTTCAAAGTATCCTTTTAATGATTCGTTTAAAATGCTTGATTCGAGTTTAGTGTGACCAAGTTTTCAATGGAATAATAAACAAACAGAAAATTCATCAGTTTTCTTCTCATTGCAAAGTCACAGAAGTTTGTAATTTTTCAAGAATTCAAATTTTCCTATTTGAACACTTTTAATGTTTCAATTAAGCTTATTCGTTTTAATGGAAATTTGACTTGCAATATACAAATTTATTGTTGAGGAAAATGTTTCAAAATGTGATTCTATTGAAAGTCTTTTTTCCAATTGATCATGAAACTTTTGAGTTGATATTTCACGTTACTTGATACATGGTTGGCAATGTGCTCAATTGTATGCTTGGTAATGAATAAGGTAAAAGCGATTCATCTTGCCGAGTTGAATAATGTCATTCATTAATCTTTCATCAAGTTTTATTGAGAAATGTAATGAAGTTGCATTGAGCAAAGAAGGTAGGAAAACATTGAAATGAAAAGATTGGAGTAAACCAAGCATTCAGCAGACGAGGTTGAATATGATGAAAATGATGATCAAAATGATAATAATGAATAAGATTACATGATTATGATATTGTATTTAAGGTTAACTTCAATAATTCAATCAACTAAATCTGATTCATGCTAAAAAGGTTTCCTTCTTTATCTTCATTCCCTGTTTACACCAATTTCACTTTTCTTCCAGTTTACCGTAATGATGATTATGATGATAATAATGATGAAAATGCTTGCAATGACAAATTGATGAGGAAAGAAAAGAAGTCGAGAAAAAAATGTATTTCACTGAACCGAGCAAAGTTGATTATTGTTGGCAACGAAATGAAATGAAATTGGATAAACTACCTTTCAAATGAAATATCAACTTGAAATTCAACTCGAAACCATTTAGAAAAGAAAAATTTATCAGAATTTC